ATGGTCTAGGTAGCACATTGTTGTTGTCACAACTTGCATAACAATCAGCTAACCACATCTGTGCCTCCTGTATTTCTTCGGCCTCAATGAAGAAGTGTTGTACGAATGGTAATTTTGGACTGGTCAAGTCACTCTTCTACAAATTTATAGCCGATTCTTCCGGTTATCTTTTCATATGCATCATGTTTTAAATTAATTCTATTTGTAAGAAGTCACGAAACATGTGTGTACAAGATAGTTTTTATTCACATAAATCTAACTTTTGACGTATAGGACTTACAAATGTTTTGAGAGTAAAGAGGATGATTTAAAAAAATGTTTTAATCAAAGGAACAGGTATTATCAGACACTTTCGAAAAGAACAGTGATCTAGAGGCTTATTCACCATAAACATTGTAATTTTTAGTGTTTCCATGGAAACATATCTAAAAAATAACTATGGTAACTTTATATCCATGGTAATAAGAGCTCCAACAGGATTTAAAATCGGTAATATGAAAGAAATCTCCCCTTATATAAAGAGTGTACCCAAACTCTCTACACAACTTTTAAAGTTTCATTCCTGGACCAAAGACGAAATAAATAATATCACATTCGAAATTTCCAAAACTCAATAGCTACCTGTGCAGCCACAATTGTGTTTTTCCAAAATAAAATTTTTTCATTGTTAAAGAATTTTTGTGGTGAATTAACTTTTGCTACATGGGTTATTAACGCTAACACCTATTTTTAAAAAAATTGTTATTTATTTGTGTAACTAGTGAGCAAAGGCCTTTTTCACTCGTGTCACATTATATTTTCCCTACAGTCACTATAAGGCATATAAATAATTAGTCTTTCAAACACTTTCTGTTTTTAGGTTAGGTTAAACCCAAGCCATTAACGGAATGGGAAATACTTTGTAGTCGTAGTATCTTTAGGTGTTACTTATTTTCTAGAGTACAGGTATAAACAGTAATAATCAGTATAAACAACTAATAAACAAGTAGATTGTTCTTCAAAATATGGCAAAAAAACATTTTCTGACAGTTAAGTAACTTTTTTACTTACGCACCAAGAGGAAAACAGTTCGTATGCTCGTTCATACTTCTTTCTTGATTTTTCAGGTAACAGGTTTAATGAAACATGTTTTCAGTTTCTGCTATTTCTGGTCTACCAGTATATTCACAATCACTTTCACCGAGTTCATTACTTTTAAACACGATTACTACTAGTAATCGTGCTTTTAAACATGTTAGGTCCACTTATAATTCGTCTTTCAAATACTACACTTCAGGTTGTGTTCAAACCAAGCGTTGAACGAAAATAGAACATAAACTATAAACACGAATGGACAGGTTAAATCGTAGCTATAATAGCCAATCAGCTGATTATAGTATTATTATCTTTAAGTGTTGCCAACCTATTTCTAAGCGTACACGGATTACGTGCCTAATAAAACCACGCTATAATAAACCGTACGACAGAGTATAAAACATAAAACAAAGTATAAATATGCAGCAATTAGCAGCTTTCTGTACTATAAACAGTGCAAGGAAGCCAACTTTGTCGGGTGACTGTAGGAAATCATTATTTTTTCGAATGTTTAGTTTCAAAATTGTGGACATTTAAAAGGTTTAAACTTAAATAACATAAAAGCTAAACCGGTAAACAAAACTTTTGATGTATTGATTATTTAGACAATTTGATTACAAATCTAATAATATCAAGTATAAGAGAATTGGTTCATAAATAAAGGAGAAAACCTATTTTTATGAAATTCTGTCGAACTATATTTTATGTTGCCAAATTACCACAGATATTGCTTGATACACAGTATCTTAAAAATGAGTTTTCTCCCATATTTAAAAACCAATTTTAATTTGTATCGTTATATTTGTAATAAATTCGTCTATTACTTCAATACTTTATTCTGAAATATCGACCTACGAATAAAACATATCCCTAGTGGTTTAGTTTACCGATATAGATTTATATTATTTAAGTTTGGTGATTTGGAAACAGCCCTTCTTTATAAACCAAACATTTTTTTTCTTCTTCAAACAGGTCTTTGCGCCATTAGTCTATGAATTTCGATTAACTAAAAAATGCAGTTTTTTAATAAAAAATAGTTATGTAAAAGATGCAATCTTGGCTGTAGGGTACCTTTTGAATTTTGAAAATACTTTAGTTTCTTTAATCCAGGAACGATGCCAAAAAAATCCATTAGAGCGTTAAGGGGACACCCTGAAACTGGAAATTTCTTATAAGTTCCACCACGTTCGGCAGGACGGGTTTGTAATGCATAAAAGACATTGAGACATTGGAATTTATACGTACATTGTATTCTTTAACAATGCGCCTTTTAAAATTTCAATACGGCAATATGGAGAAATCGTTTGATGACTGATAGTCTACGTCTACAGCGTATCTTTTGGCATATTGCAGAAAAATCTTGTTATTCTATGTAGCAATTCCATTAGGTAGAGCTCCTTCAATTACTCAAACTGCAATTCAGATACTGCGCAAATCCGGCCTCACGCGAATTTCAGGCGAATGTGTATAAAATAAACGGTACCAGCAATCTGATACATAGTTTCTCCCATTAGCTTGTCAACAACCTTTGGGTAAGCGGTGGGAGTAACTATGATATTTTAGGGAAAATCACAAAAGTTGCAAACACTTTTGAACCGTAATATTTACAGGGATATTTGCACTATTTGGTTTTGAATTTCAATCAGAATCGGGTTTTTTTTATAATCCTCTTTTCCATTTTTATGGGGTTTTGTGGGAAAATAACATAATTTACAATAACTTTTGAAACTTAATTTTTAAAGCATTGGAGGGTTGCACATATAGTCAATGGTTGCACTATGTTAATAAGGACTATAAGGACCATCACATACTAATTTCAATTTTGTTTTCGACTTTTTTCGAAAATCCTTTTTTTTCTTTTATTTTTATTTTTTTGGGTTTTTTTTTAAATAACATAGGCCTAAGTTATAATTTTTAAACTCTAATTTTTATAGGAATGGGAGTTCCACCATTTTGTACACAATTTAAATGCTACAACATACTAAATTTTTATTAAAATTGTTAGGGTAGGCCTACCTAATTAGAAAAATTTATTTTCAGTTATTTTATGGGTTTTTATGTGAAAATCACCATTCAAAATCTAAATTTCAAAAAATTAAAAAGAAGCATGGAGATACCATGGATTAGTATTACTTATCAAATTTATCAAGTATCATTTTTCTCGTGTGTAGCAAAGTGCCACTTTCGCACACTAGCTACACAAATAACTATTCTGGTTTCCCTTCAACTGATTCTATACTCATTCCAAGCGTTTCTGCTTTGCTTTCGTAGCACTGATTTGCAGGCGCTTGTTGTTTCACAACGTTACCACCGTTATCTTTTACAAAAGTAATTTCTCGTAATAATTTATCTTTTACTAAAGTTTAACATGTGTCTGCTATACAAAATAGTCTAATAAAGATTCCAAACAAATTGGGTATAAGCATTGACTATTGGATACAGAAGTTTTTGTATTAATAGTCAAAGGTATAAGTCACTTTACTTTGATACTTTATTGTTGTTTTATATAATTAAATTTGCTACACGTAAATGTTTCTTCAGTTAGGTAACATTTCACATCATACATAGGCTGGTAATTTTTAGACAAACTCGTTTTAATAGCTGGCCTCTCCTATGGCAGAAAACATTCGCATTTAAGTAATGTGCCCCGTTTTTATACAATTAAATATAGCAATTTGAATTAGATTACATAAAATTAGAATTTAATATCTACGCAAAACTTATTTGTGTTTGGATTTAGGTCAATTACTATTTTTATCACGCATTACAGACAATGAGTTGGGTGGTGGGCTGTTAGTTGTCCACTATACATAGAGCAAGAAAACCAATATCAGTTACATAGGTACCTATTTGTATTCGCAAAACCACCTAAAAGCTTAATCTAAGGGAGAACACTTGTAAAATCTTTTACAAATCTTCTATATATTCATAAGCAAGCATGTTTCCAAAACCTTTTTTCTCAGCTCGTGTCTCAGCTCATGGCAGGGAAAATCGATGCATACTGTTGGAAGTATATTTTCCTGTAGATGTGCAGAATCCCTTCATAAATTAAAATAGGCTCAAAACAAGCATAAAAAATAAATTTGAAATTTGAAAAAGATTAACATGGGTTTGCCATGCTGGTTACAAAATAACAAGTTAATATAAACAGAAAATCAAAACAAATTGAAGAAATTCCAAACACATGTTTTATTTACAGCTTGGGGTGAAAATAGAGAAGTCTGTACATTACATATTTTTGGTCAAGTTTTCGACCACTGGACGACCTCTAGTTTAATTTAAAAAAAAAACAGTATGGTAGCCTATTTTTGGCAGGCTCTGGTATTTAACATTCATGCAGTACCTTTAAAGGGGTGGGAATTAAATTAGACCTCTCTGAGTTCTGAGCTCTCCTTATCCTCTTAACTTTTTGCAGCTTGTCATGGGAAACTCACATAGTAAAACATGTTTGGTCAGCTTGAATTATTATCCCCTGGAAAACAAAGATAGGAAGTGTTCCTGAATAATTAACTGCGGTTGACTTACTTTGCGGTCCTGATTTAAGTTGGTACGGTATCCAACCTGTTCCATTAGTGTACAAAATGTTTTTGAAAATTATCACAGTTAAATTAAAATTTCCTGTTTGTATTAAATTAGTGTTTGTATTGTTAACTCCATTTTATGGAAATAAATGGAATGTCAGATAAGTGATAACCACCGTTAAGTAAGTTATATTATTTGCACACTGGGATGTGAAAACAAAAGTTGAATCCGTCACTGTAAAACTCAAAAGATGCTGAAAACTGTATTCCATAATAGTAACTTTTATAACAAAAACAGGTATATTACCTTAATATTCTTGTAAAAACATACAGTTTTTATTTCAATTGTGTTTATACATTTTAGATCTAATAAAATCTGAATTGTATACCAACTAAAAGGGCTTACAAATAAAATACTTTTTTTATGGCTTTTGATAAAGATAGTTCTTCCATACAGCAACAGATAAACTGTGCCTAGTTATGTGTAAAATCCTAAGGTTCGCACATCAACATACAAAACAAAAAACATAAGTACAATTTTAAAAAGTGTATTGAGAAATGGATTTTGTATGTTTGAGAATCATTATTAAAGGTAGCAATGAAAATGTTAATTTAAATAATAAAATTAGAGGTAGGCCTAAGTAGAAAAATGTTTACAGACAAACGAGATAATCATTTACAGTTAACATCCAGAAGTTGTTGCAGTTAAAGTAAAAGTGCACAAAAATGCACTTTGATTGCAAATGATTTTGAATTCTTTGTAAAATATTCAACTGATTTAAGCAGCCATTCCTTGTAATTTTTTCATGAATGGATGAGTTTCTGAAGAACACTGGTTAGCCATGATGTCTTTCACTTTGTTAAAGTAGATTTCTTCCTTCAAAATACTTTCCCTCAATTGTCTTTCTTCTTCCTCGCATTGCTTCATCTAAAACAAAAATATTTCATTGTATAAATCTACTCTTATAAACCATACATAATTAAACATGATGTATAATCCATCTCTACACTAACAAGCAAATTACAAGGATAAGGGAACCCAATGGTCATCTATGGTTTCCCCCTCAATACATTATTCCAATCAAAATCTCAGTCACCTAGTCTCACAGCCCCCTAACCATTAAAAATAACTTCTTGATCACCATTTTTATAGTGCGTTCACACAGCCGTGGCACCTGAGGGATTAGGAGGCCCCAAGGGTTTCCATGGGGTGTCCTAATCCGTCAGGTGCCACGGCTGTGTGAACGGAGTATAATGACACGTTTTTTTAAGAACAGCTACCCATAACAGCTAGTCTATAATCTTTACTCAAATGGTGACGAGATTTTGTATGTGGTAGGTATACCCTGTTTTAATTTTAGTTCAATGTGTTAGATGACTGTTTACATTGTTGTATAGTGTTTTCTATGTAACCAACCACTCACACTTGAAAGAGTAAATTATGGTTTTTGAATTGTAACGATGCTACAATAATAGCAAAACATATTGTAAATGACCATGAGAGTAACTAACCAATAGTTATCTCCAACATTGCCACTTACCAAAGTCAATTTGTTGTCCTCTATTTGCTTTGCTAAACCAATGCGATATTCCTTCTGTTCCTTAGCTTTTGCTTTCTTCTGATCTTCCTCCAAGGCCAAATGTTCCAATCGCATAAGCTCTGCTAGTCTTGCCTCTTCAAGCTCTTTTCTCTTTTCCTCTTCTTTTCTCTTCTCTATTGCTTTAATTTGTAAACATCGCTCCCTCAATACTGCCTAAAAACAATTAGTTTTGAGTGAAGAGTGTTAAACTACCTAAATAATTTAATGGGAATCTGAAAGATGCAACGAACAATGACGGGAAATAAGTAATTTGGGGTCACTAGCTGATGTCAACGTGATAGGACATATAAACCAGCATATGGACAGTAGACAAATTTTGATTTAAATACCGTAGTGTGCATGGTTGTAAGAACTTCCAAAGGCTTTTACCAGTAAAACTGGTAAGTGACAAATTTTATTTCTTGCATTGAGACTTTTGTGTAAATATGTTTTTGAGGTATTCCACAGTCTGAACTCAGCAACTAACAGGTTTACCACCAAAATCATGTTTTCTTACTTACTTACTTACTGCTGGGGCGCTACAAATCGCAGTCGATTCTTCGCCTCGTAGATCAGCCTCTTCCACGCTTCTCTGTCCGCTGCCATCTCCACTGTCCCTCCACACTGACTCACATCTCTCTTAACTTGGTCATACCATCTCATTTTTGGTCTACCCAGTGGACGCTTTCCAGTTGGTACAGCAGAACATACTTCCTTCAGTCTTGTTCCTTCTTCCCTTCGCAATACATGACCTAGCCAACCTAATCTTTTTGCCTTTATCAAAGCTATTATATCAGGGTCCTGGTATAACGCTCGCAGCTCTCTGTTTTTTCTAATCCGCCATTCTCCTTCTTCGTTTACTGGGCCGAATATTTTTCTTAGGACCTTGTTTTCAAAAACAATCAAGCGTCCTTCATTTCTCTTGGATAGGACCCAGGTCTCACTTCCATACAATAATACTGGTTGAATAATGGTTTTATATATTCTTATTTTTGTATCAGATGATAGGAGTTTTGATGACAGGAGCTTCATACATGCACCTAAACATTTATTGGCATTTGCTAATTTACTTAATATTTCTGTATCTTCTATGTTAAAGCTATTTACAGTAACTCCTAAGTATTTAAAGCTTTCTACTGGTCCAATTAAATAGTTGGCTATATTGAAATTGGTGCCTCTATTGATGGGATGTCGTCCAAACTTTATTATTTTGGTTTTTTCCTCATTTAGTTCCAAACCCACTTTTTTACATTCTTGAATAAACTTGTCGGCTAGAAAACACAAATCCTCCGACTTTTCAGCCAATATCACCACATCATCTGCGAAGGCCATGACATTTAAGTCTACACCCAATTTTAGGCCCCTCTTTAGATTTTTTACTTTTTGTAGAGCTTCTTCAATCGCTATGTTGAAAAGAGTGGGGGAAATCCCGTCCCCTTGTCTCACTCCTGTATTTATACTAAAGCTCTCCGACATTTCTCCATCTACCTTTACTTTCGCTTTTGATTCGTCAACACATAATCTTGTCAAATTTATTAACTTTTTAGGTATGCCATGTTTTTCCATTTTCCTATATAAGGTCCTCCGATCAATGCTGTCGTAAGCTTTCTTGAAGTCAATAAATATCCCATAAAAACTCTTATTATATTCATAATATTTTGAGATTCCCTGTTTAAGCAAAAATATTTGGTCTACTGTCGATCTACCTTTCATAAAGCCGGCTTGTTGATCCTCAATTATTGATTCTGTGTACGGATTTAGTCTCATTAATAGAATTTTTGAGAATATTTTATATATAATCATGTTTTCTTAGTTGGATATAAGTTTATTTTCAACATACAATTAATAACTAACATGTTTACCCCTACCTCTTTCAGTTTGAGGGCTGCTTCACACTTCTTTATATCAGCTTCTTGTTGCTTTGCGTCTATTTTAGCCACTTCTCTTGCTCTGAGTTCATCAATTTCCTCTTCTTGCCTTTTCCTTTGCAGATTCATCTCCTCTAGATGAGCTTTGAAAAGTTCTGATTCTTTTCGAAGCTGGGACTGAAATATTTAAAATTTAATTATTAGATGGAAAGAAATTTTTTTTCTAAAGAAAATTTCAAAATTATATTTTTATAATGAAATAAACATACTTCCTAATAGCATATAGATTATACATCATCTAATGGTAATTTTAAGGTTAGTTCTGTTGGCTTATATAGGGTCAGGGAACTGTTTTTATGTTTTTTTTTTTTTTTTTTTTTGTTATTGTAGTAACTTTGGAAATAATTTAACTGAATGTCCCAATCTATTTGCAAACTTGTTTATCCTATAAACAAAAAGTAAAGCAAAAACCGTAAAAGCTATCAAAAATTTTAGGGAGATACATAAGTTGACATCGGTGCACATCTATATAAATAAAATTACAGTTTTGTCTGTACATTGCTTAGAATAATGCAGTTTTTGGTTATTTTTACGTTTCATAGCCTAAGAAAGCCGAAACGAGTCTTATCTCAATTTCTGTCTGTATGTCTGTCTGTTTGTCCATTCTGTGACTTCGTCTGTAACGCCAAAATGTCATTTTACGCGGCCTACTCCTAGAAAACTAGAGTACCGATCAAGGTTCTAATCATTTTTCTGTATTTACTGGATTGGTGAGAGTGTCTTTGGCTATAAAAACATGGCCTCGCTTCTTTTTAAACAAAATAACGAACCACCAAAAACCCAATTTTGTTCGATTTTTGTCAAATTTTCTCCCAATGTTTACTATTACATTTTATGAAATAACGATCAGCTGTTTGGATTAGTTCTCACTTCTACTAGCTGCCACTGATATGTTTACATTAAAAGTTGTTTACAAATACCGCAACCATTTCCGATCAAGTTTAGTCAGCACATCCAAACCAAGTGAGATTAAAAACGTTGTGCCTTACTTAACCGGTTTAATTAATCGCAAGTGCAACGATTGTTCTTGAGTTTTGATAGCCGGGGAAAATACCGTGAATCAGTGTTGTATTAGTGCAAGGAAACCTACATTTTTTTAATCATCGCCACCAATACCGTAGCTTACAAAGGTTTCCACTCATTGACGGCGCTTCAAGGACAGTTGTGTAAAGTGCAAAGTAAAAAATCACAACTGCTGTGGGTGATCGTGGATGTTGCTGCGATCTTGGAAGATCTTTCTGATTTCGCTGTGATCGTACCGTAACGGAGGTTTAACTTAACAGATGTAGCTAAACTCGCTTTTCCAATATGTCACTTTTGGTTTCTACTTACTTACATTTCGACAACGATATGGTACTTTTCCTACTTAGGAAATAAAACTACAAACGTACAAAACCCCAGATTTGTGCGTTTTTTGTCACATTTCCTCCGAATGTTTGCTAGATATAACCGATTATCGTTTAGAGATTGCGTAATCTTTTAAGAAACCTTTGTTTGGATAAAGGTGGTTTCTTCAAACTGCCATTAATATGTTAACATTAAAAGCTGCTTACAAATAATGCTATTAATGGGAAATAACTTTGATTTTCAAAAACTTAAAAAAAAATTTTAAACCAAAGGAGATTAATAACTTCGGTACTGCACCACATCAAGTTAAAGTTTTTTTTAGCAAACCATAGTAAGTTTTCAAAGCTTTACGTTGTTAAAGTTACATGTTACATGTTTTGTGGCCTGTGTATTTATTTATTTATATATTTGCCAACAGATTAATTAACACCTATAATACAGTTTGATTAGAAGGACAGTTTGAATTAGTCGTAAGTTCTTTTCTCAAATGTAAACGTTGGTTGTTGGTACTGCTACTTTTCCTTAGAACCGGTGGTAGCAGTAAGAATCATTTTTACATACAAACACATCACTATTTTCACTATTTATTTATAAACACTGCACCTTATTGCTTATTAAATTTAATTGATGTGTTACTGTATAATTTTTAGCGTTTTCTGTCTGGACTCAAAAATGTGTGGACACTATTATGTATTTGTGTGTGTATGTCTGGTAACGCATTAATGACCTTATTTTTCGTGGAAAAGACAAGAGCACCATTGTTGATAAAAATTTCAACCCGAATAAAGTGTGCGGTAGTGAGGTTGAGGTAGTGTTTTAACTACTTTTAACCAGTGTGAAAAGTAACTTTAAATTACAGGCCTACCTTAGGGCTATGCCTCATAGATCTATACTGTAAAGCAATTCCTTTCATCGTTTTATATAAAATATGGACTAACACGATCGGGTGACATTTAATTGCGAAGCATTCGTTTTGGCTTTGAAACTGTCAGGTATTGTATTTGAGAAGGTTTATATGTATTCCTAAACAGTTATAGTTTTGCCATCATATCTGGAAAAATGCACACTAAATATGCAAACCAACTCCTGTTCTGAATATAAGGTTTTAACTTACTACTAGATTCCCGTACGTAGAACGGGCAAACAGCTAGTCAATACTAATCATGCATTAAAACATGCTTCAGACTTTACAATAGGGTGAGAACTCTATTTGCACTATTAAAAATCAATAGTTTTAAGTAATTCACTAATCCATGATTATTTAAAAAAGATATACTATATGAATAGTTTATTTAAAATTCCCTCATACATAAATTTATTAGGATCTAACTACTTCATTTATCACCAATCTTTTAAGTCATCTTCTCCAAAGAATCAGTTTGCCCTGGCGACAAAGCTAGCAAATTCATTCAAAGAATCGTTAATTAAAACTTAAAATTATTTGTTAATTTGATTTAATTCTATTCTATTGTTATCATGCTCACATACTGTTAACACCTACTTCCCAGCCTTGCAGCGTAATATATACTGAATAATCAACTCACCTTATTATCATGGGCTTGTTCTTGTTCTTTTCTCAATTCTTCTTGGATCAGCTGACAGAACATATCATTGAGAACTTTCTCCTGAGCTTTTCTCCGTTCATATAACTCAATACTCTGTTTGTTCACCTTCTCCATTTCCTCATACATCATCCTCTTCTTTAATTCCACTTCCCTTTTTGCTGATGAAAGAAAAAATTTTAGAACAAGGTTTCGGGATCTGATAATTTATTTTACTGGAAACGGGTAGGTTAGGGTTTATAACAAAAAAACCACTGTACAGTTCAACAGGAATATAAATAAGAAGTGTAACAAAATGTAATAATTATCTTTGTACTTAATTTAACCTAGTGTGTAAAAGAATTATTATAGCCTTAGTTAAAATTAAAGAAATTATATGATTATTTATACTCTATATCAAAATTAGGAAAGTTTTTGAAACTATTATCCATGCTGTTAAGCTTAAATTGGATTTAGATCAAAGATAGTAGAGAAGGTTCCAAGACATCTTCCACAATTGGGATATTATGTGCCGATTTTCTTTCTCAAAGAAGTACCAAATTTATTAAAATGTCTCTAAAAAAAACTGGAAAAGGAATTCCATGAAAAGTGCCACAAGTTTGGATCTTCAACGTCCCTTACGTATTATATTCTTTAATAATGTATAAAAGATAACCTAATTCTTCTTCTTCGATCAACTTTTCCCTCTCCTTCTGAAGTCTTGCACGTTCCTCCATTTTGAGCCTCTCTTCTTCCTCTTTATATAGTTGAATTCCTTTTATTTGGTTTTGAAGAATGTCATTAATCTCCTTCATTCTATGTTTCCTTTTACGTGCTTCTTCCTCTTCATAGGCAACCTGCACATTTTATACTCAGACAAATGATTTGCAAAACTATAATTTTAAAACTCTTTAAAAAAATATAATTTTAAACCAACAATAAAATTAATTTTACCCGACAAATAATTCTTAAGACTTCATAAAAAGGTGTCCATCTAAAGACCTACAAGAAAACTTTCTAGGTGTATTATTGTCAATAGATCAACCAATTCTTAAAAAAATTGCTTCAGATAATTTAATTTTACTCTTTTAATAAAGTATAATTTTATAGAAATATAACATTCAACAATTTGCAATTCATACAAAAAACAAAAATACGAGAACGATGATGATATGATGAGATGATGACGATGAGGATGAGTGTAAATGAATGAAGTTCAAAAGGTGGTTGTACCCTCTCATCTAAAATTTTTTTATGTTTGACACACGCCAACACTGGTGTAGTCTACATTTTCCAGTGACAGACCACTTGCCATTGTGCTGGAAAAATACAGAAAAATCAGAGTGAGAATGCCATTCCCACAAAGTTTGCCCCACTAGAACAGTGCATGTTAACGTTATAGTTAGTTTGAACAAAAACGAGAAAGCTAAAATACTGATTGGAAAAAATTGCTGTAGAGTATGATAACTTTTGATGGCTGCAGACAAGCCATTCTTTATTCCTTTATTGATTTTGTAGTTTTGGAAATAATTTTCTTAATATTAAAGATGAAGTAACTTTTAGGATAAAAAATTATCACAGTCGAAATAAGTCACTGACAGGGTGTGGTAGAGTAAAATACTAATTTAATTCAAACAAAAACTTGTTAACAAAGCCAGACTGAAAAGACAACTTGTTGCAAACTATAGCTTCTTAATGTCACACTGTTTGCTTTATACGTGCTTCACCACGAGATGATGAGACAGAAGAAAATTACTGTTCGTGTTCTTTGAATCTACTTTAGAAGACAGTAACATATACAGGGTGTTAAAAAAGTCCCAGGACAGTTAAATATTTTAAAAAATAATGCAGATAGAGCTACAATACTTGGTACAAAGTTACAGGGCATAAAACTCTATTTTAACACATAATCAGTGATCCAATAACTCTTCAGGGGGATAGCCCACGAGGAGTCGGGAGAAAATCTTAAATGGAAGCATAGGTCAATTAGCACATCAAATCAAAGGTCTTTTTCAGTAGAATACAATGCCGCAAACCGCACTTCAAAAGGTTGATCCTGAGCAAAATGGCAGATGTTCAAAGATTTCTTGAATCCGCCATTTTGAATCTTTGAACGACTGCCATTTTTTACTCAGGCATTCTTTTGAGCTTGAATTTACGGCATCGTAATCTACTAGTAAAGACTTTTAATTTGATGTGCATATCGACCTATGCTTACGTTAACAATTTTCTTCCGACTCCTAGGGCTGTGCCCCCTGAGGAGTAAGCATATAATAGCAATGTAAATTAAATAATCTTTGAACAACTGTCATTTTGCGCAGGATCAACCTTTTGAAGAGTGGTTTGCGGCATTGTATTCTACTAAAAAAGACCTTTAACGTGATGTGCATAGTGACCTATGTTTCCATTTAAGATTTTCTTCCGACTCCTTGTGGGCCGTCCCCCTGAAGAGTTATTGGATCACTAATATGTGTTAAAATAGAGTTTTATTCCCTGTAACTTTGTACCAAGTATTGTAGCTCTATCTACATTATTTTCTAAAATATTTAACTGTCCTGGGTCTTTTTTACCACCCTGTATATACTTTGAAAAAGAACTCAATTACACCCCTTAGTTTTATAAAACGCTCACAAAGCAACCCAAAGTGCATTTTGTTGACTATAACTAACATATATATTTATTCTTGAATAATTAGTTGACTAAAACTGGTCTATTTAGATGGGATACCTACTTTGGTAAAAAAAAACATCAATGATACTGAAATTTGAGTCACATAGTACTAAGTCTGATCCTGATCCATATTGATGATGACAAAGTAAACATAAATAGTTACTGTGAACATCAATTTATGTCCGTTATTCTTTACATATCTACATGAACCATTTACTGCACAATGAAGCTTTGAAAACAGCAACAGACTTATCAAATTAGCGTTACCATCAATGCGTAGTTTTTCCTCGCCACATCCTCCCACATTTTCTCCATCTCTTTATCAGCTTCTCTTTGCTTTTGTTTATCTTCTACCTGCTTCAACACCGCTTGTGCCACCTCTTTTGTGTTGAGAGCTTCTCTAAATGCCCTCAACTCTTCACAACGATTCCTGATAAGAGAAAAATGTCCAGTCAGTACTGTTTTTCTGGGGCTAGAAATGTGTGAGATGCAACTGTGGTGAAAGCTAAAAGAGACCTTGCAGATGTCTTCAGCTTCAATCACCAAGATGGTAAAATATTTTGAAACTCATCTAGGAGACTACTTGAGCCCTTATCTTGTGTGGATGTATCCATTGTGTTTCTTATTTGAACCATACAGTTATTCTATATATGTAGGACTAGCCCTTCTTTTGTAATTTTCCAGCTTTTACTGAATTTATGTACGAATATGTACTGATCTTGTTGTGCTTTCCCACCTGATCACATTCCTGATCCCGAAACATGAAAATCGTTTTACTAATCATTGTGGGAAATATCAAACATTTCCACAATAACCCAATAAAAAACCTAAACTTACATCAGCGAAAATAGACTTCAAGCAAAGGCAACCTGTATTATATTCCCGTAGCTAAGGTAAATAAAATGAAGGATTAAGCACAAACAAGGGGAGGGGGGAATCTGTATAAAGCTCCAGACACAACCGAAGCTAAAAGCCGAAGGTTGAGGGGAACTTGGCATTTCATCAGAAAAATCTTTGACGGTTCAAGACTCAACATTCTTTATTTGGTGAGTAAACGAAATTAAAAAAGTGTCCTTGGTAAATTAAAGGAAAATAAAACTAAAAAAGGCTTTTTAATGGGAACGTACTCATGTATACTCACATGTACTGTTGCAGCCTCTTCTCGGCCGCCAGAGCAGCGTCTTCAGCTTGTCTGCGTACTTTGACCTCCAAAGCCCTCAATCTCTGGTCCTCCACCACACTGTCTGCCTCATGCTGTGACTTGGACACCATCTCTCTCATGTAATGCCTCTCCTCTGACAATAACAGACTGCGCAATCTGGAACAAAACAATCAAATGACTCCAGCTGATCTGTGCGATGACCTTTTTTCAGTGTGGCCTTGGATGACCAGAGACTGAGAAGTATAAGTATAATAAACTTTGACTTTTGGATACTGAAGACATCTCATCTGTGTGGAACAGCTGTTGCAAATTTTCACTTTGATTTTGAATAGATGCTTTGACTGTAATAGAAAGAACTAGACATTTCATTCCCACATTGAAGTTGAGTTGTAGCATAGACTAACCAACACAAGTAGACTTTTCATCCCGTTTTAAACTTTGAAGCTCGTTTTTTGGATCTAGTTCATGTACATGTACACATGTACACATGTACATGTGAACATGTACTGTGTTCATTATTTTTAGTCCTCTCGAGTTACTCAGTTAACTTTTAAATTTTGTTTCATCTGAAGAAGGTTTCTTACTTTTTTAAATTCAAATCTATGACTCTCTGGTTTTCATTTCCATCAAAAAATGTATTCTCATGCGAGTAAAATGCTTTAGAAAAGGCTTATTTTGAGGTATTTACCAGTCACTTCACACTTAAATTTCTACAATTAGCACAAAATTACAACTGTACAAGCCTACAAAATATGAAATGAATAAAGTAACATAAATATATTTTATATCGGTTAAGGTCCAAGCCGGCAGTGACGGAGATCCTAAACCCTTGCATTAGCGCACGGTGGACAGGTAGAGTGCACCCTTAAGCCGCATCAACACAAGACCAATAGGCAGGTTATGGGACAAGTTACCTGCCTCTAGTGTATTTCAAGTTACCTGAGGCAGGTGACCTGCCCACCAACAGGCTTTATGTAAACACAGCTTAAAGTCTAGGTATATGGTGACTGCAGTGATAAATAAGTGCAGGAAGGTGGTCTCTCACTAATACTATGTCTGGTTTATCGCCAATAATCATTGCAACCAAATGAAATCCTTTTATTGGTAATTACTCTTCTGACAATAAAAGAACTCACAAGGTCTTGGATGTTTTGACTAAAATACCGTATTAAAAATCTGGGAACACAGTTTTAACACTATTACCTCTGCATCAAGTATGATAAAATTGTTAGATAAAGTTGTGAATAAAGTTGTGAATAAAGTTGTGCCACACAACTGACAGAGATAAGCCAGAGAATTTTGTAAAACTAATTTGTTCAGTTGAGTTTTGTTTCTGTACATTCCTAAACAGGAAGAAACTCGTATGTCCTTATAGATGGATAAGTAACTATTTTTTTAATTTTCTACAATAGATTTAAATAACCACATTATTCTCTTTTGTCTCCTTACCCGGTTCGAAAGCAGGGTACAGCAACTACAGGCCTATATAACGGAACTTACTTATATTCTTTTACTAACCTCTCTCTTTTACAGTTCAGGTTCTCCTCTGCTGCTTGAAGACTTTTATTGACTTGGTCGCGTATTTTTGTTTCCAGGCACTTTTTATCTGTTGACTTGTGGAATTTACTCTTAAGAATATCACGTTGGTTGGTTTTCAAAGTTTCCTCTTGATCTTTTGCAGCTTCGTCGATCATTCGTTGGTGTATCGCCATCAGACGTATTCTTGTATTAGTATTCGGCTGTTTTGCTACCTGAATAAGACGATTTTAGCAGTTGTGCAATCTGTTCTGTTTTCTCACTGTGTAACAGGAATTGTAGTTCAATCTAATTAGTACCTATCACCTCCATAAAAACTTTTGGAAATATTGACCTCGTCTTAAGTCAGCTTGAAAGTCAAACGACCATTTATAAGCCTTCATTAGTACATTGTGATTTTTTTAGTTTAATGATGGGTTTGATAAGTTTGAGAAAAACCACTTATGAGATGGAAATTATTTTTTTATAAATTGATTTCATTCTAACTCAATTTTGTTTGATTTTTTAATTCAATAAATAATTATTATTACTGGATAACTGAGCTTGTTTTGAACAAATTTAAAATCCAATAAATATTTTTATATTAGTAGTATTTTTATAAAACTTACTAGTCCATATGAGTATGGGGCACAGCCTGGTATATCTCTTCCTTTTCTGTACATTTTCTGTTAACAAAATATAAGATATGATTACACACTAGATTTCAATTTTATTATTGCTCTACCATTGTAAGTAAGCAGGATTTGATTCCAAATCTTGACATTGTCAATACTCATTTGTTATTTTCAAAATTGTGGTGTAGGTATCATGTTAGAATTAGCTTAATTGAAAACTCGTTGTAAAAGGGTCAGCACCCCAATGAGTTTTTCATACATGATTGATTAATTGATTACAAGTACAACATTATAGTGACTATTTTCAAACAGTAAATTTTGATTCTTCTAATTTTGAATCTGAATGAAATTTAACTTTTCTTATTTTCTCTTCATCTAATTTTATCTGTAACGCGGATTTATTTGTTGACACTTTTATTCCTACAAATCTAAACATATTTACTTAGCCTATAATTTAACTGTCTACTATTATTCAGATATTTTTAAGGTTAAATGATGATTGTATCCATCAACTCAATCACAACGATCACGTTAAGTTATTTACCACATTATTATTGGTCAAAAACATTTTAATCGCGATATTTACCTGTAACCACCCCCCCACCCCTCCATAAACGTTTAATTTGTCCAAAAAGGAAAAAGAAAATAATTATTAAAAGACACAAGTTGGCTAGATTTCTCATCCTTTGGAAATTTTGAACCTCGTTTTTTGTGTCTAGTTCATGTTGGTGACATTGATAGCTATATAGTGTCAACTAAATTTTGTTTATTTTTTAAGGTTAATTTAATTTAATCAAATTCATCATTTGTGCTTTACTGTTGGGTTATAACTAGGGGACGAGTTATTGTTTATGATTAGGTTTAATATTACTGAAATAACAACGAACAAATTGTAATCAAAACACTACAGAGCACCGGGGAACTAACAATAAAATTGTCTTCAGCTGATCTATAAGGATGAGGATGAGAAAAACTCTACTAAGTGATCATAGTGTTTAAACTATGATTTTACAATAATAATTTGCCATTGAAATATTTCCCTCTAACCAATGAATATACCTCTAACCACACAGAATTAATTACAGTATTTACAAATGTAATCTAATTTTAGTTCATATTTTAGTTCACTCTTACCTTTTGGAAGTAAAAATATCTTTTTCTAAGAAAAGAAAAACACTTCGGTTTTACAAGTAAACACACAAATTTTGTCTAGTGTTTTAATCACAAAAATATTATTGTTTCACTTCTGATTACAAAATCTAACTCTTCTGCCTCAGATAAATCATATGTTAAAGTTATAAAGGATAAACAGAGGGAGGAAATTTATTATCTACCTTTTAATTAATTATTTAATATGTATATTGCATATACCTCAATTTTTCCAACCAATGAGAATCAATGAGTAGCAAATGGACTTGAGGAAGAACAGGTAGAGGTTTGGAATTCTCTGAGTCAATAAGAACCCTTCAAATCAGCGAGCTACCATAGTGACAAATAAATAGTTCTACACCCCCCCCCCCTGTCACTGTTGGTGGGGTATGGACCTAATCAGCTGCACCGTAATAAATCCATTTATTTACCAATTCGGAATTGTCAGTTCATGCTTGATCACAACTGTTCACATTGTCACAACCGATCAAATACATAGCGCTGTTGTTTTCAAGAATTTATTTTTGTGTGAGCATGTACTTTTACTGATTGAATAGCTTTGAATTTTGTATGTAAGATATTTACTGTACAAAGGTTCTTGCTGTAAATAAATAAATTGAATTGAATTTCATTCGCTTATCAACATTAATAAATTGCCTGGTTAATTAAATCCATGATTATTTAAAGTTTAAGTTTATGAAATGTACAGTTAGTGTAAGTAGATATATTGATGGTTTTAACAACATAAATCCATTCTTTGAATACTCATTTACTCAGTCTCTCAAAGTCATCCTTAAACAAAATTATTTAAATCCTATTGATATGAAAATCTTGGTTCGTCCTATTGATATGAAAATCTTGGTTCGTCAGCAACTATCAACTCCTTAGCTAATCAAAGCCAATTAAATCTATATTTGATCACAATCTAACAAAATTAAGGTTGATCCAAATAAATTGCTATCCAAAGTTAATCAAATCTCAAATCTAATGCTATTCAAAAGAAATTAATGGTTGATCAACATAAATCAAATCCATAGTCAAAAAGGATAATGATATGAGCAGTTAATAAAAGTAAGTTGATGTATCAAACCTGTGATTATTTTAAGTAAAATAAAAACTAAGTTAATGTTATTTGCAATATTTTTCACATATTGTTGGCTACTGAAATGCTAAATTTGCGGTTTTCTGTTTCTACTTTTTAGTTTTTAGCCCAGTTGATGTTCCTTTTAAAAATCAACTATTCAGTAAGTGTAGTGGAGCAGGAATAGCTCCTATTCTGCTTTTTTTAAGAATTCTACATATTAATAGGTGATATATGTGTTATTCTAAGCCAAACTCAGCAATGGCTAAATTGGTTTTAACAACAATTTTAAATAGCATTAAAATAAGTTTATGTCTCCCTGTGAAGGTAACAAAATCGTGAACATGTTCTGTGGATGCAGCTATGGCAAAGTCGAGAACATCTCTTTCGATCATGACAAAATTTTAAAAATAAACATCTTACACGGTTGCGCTTCTCGGACGTAGAGAGACCATTGTTTTCCGCAGTAGCGGCTAAATAATGAAAATTTCTGGCCATGGCAGCAAAATCGTGAACATCTCCAAGGTTAGTCAGGCCTCAACACTGGAACATTTACCACTTAACAGCTATAAACTATTTTAATTTTAATAAACCTTAATAAAACTAAGATATGTTTTTTACAATGGTTTAAATTTGTGTAAGATGACCAGAAGCAAATAAAAACTGCAAACATCGCTAATATATGTAATTTATTTTGTTATTCATATATTTTATTACAATTTCCTCTGCATATTTACAACAATGCAAAGTTCATATAATCATGAAATCATACATAAAAAATGTTTACAGTGCTGTTGGTTTTTGATGTAAAAAAAACTCTAATAAGAGTACAGTATAAAATAAGGAACAGTTATAAGTACTAGAAAAGAAATATTTCAACCATACATTATAAAACAACCGATGTTAATTAAATACTATAGAATTGGCAAAATCTTATTCACTTCTCTTTTTTAAGAAAACAAATAATTACATGTAAAAATAAAAAAAATAAACTTGATAATATAAACTAAATAACAATATGACAATCAACATAAGCATGTTTGTGCAGGCAAAGTTTACAATAACAAAAAAACTAAGTTTTGCATTTTTGTGTAAGTAGGTGATTAACAAAGATATACTACCTTTGTCAGATCTATATTTCACTAATTCAAAATTCCAAACAAAACATTCACCCTAAGAGTAAAACGTCAAACTTTATTTGTACGCAAGATAAAAATACTCGACCAAACACTACAATAATTAATTGCTAAAACCAATTTTCCACAAATATTTTGAAATCCAAAAAAATATCATCACATTTGTTATGTACCGGTATAGTTTAAAATTTCACACAGTCAATTTCAACTTGAAAAAAAATTAGGACATCACACTTTTAACAATGAATAAAAATGGCAGTAACAACACAACTATCACGCTTAAATACTACACTACTTAGTTGGAATTAATTTTTACCTAGTTTACACATAGTCAGCTATTTATTTGGTTATAATCCCTGTAAAACCTTGTCATATAAGTAACAAAAAATCATCTGTAACGGTTTACTACTTTATAAAACCATATAAAATGTATTCATCAATAATGAAGAGTAAGCAACCTAACCAGCTTCCTTGAAAAATGAAAATTTGTTAGGATTGAGAAACGTAGCTTCAAATGTAAAACAATTTTTCAAATTACTTTCAGTTTCAGATTTAAGCTCAATTGATTATAAATCCCTATAATATTGTTCATATAAGGAAAAAATTAGGAAAACATTCTGAATGATTACTGTAATTCTTTAACCCTTAATGATTGTCATTATTCAATTATCTGGATAGAAATAGCAAGCAATAACTTTTCTCAGAATATTGTAAGATAATTTGAATATAAAATCAATTTCTGTATAACAATACTGTTTACTAAAATTAATTTTAAGATTGTTAATAACTAGATAGAATATCTATGGATATAGCTTACTCCATTATGGAAGACAAATAAATATATGATTCATGAATCACAATATCATTAAATTTGATAAGTTTGGTCACTCCATTTCAACTGTTTGAACTATAAGTTTTGTTCAAGGAAAGGCTCTAGGCCAGGATTTTCAATTGTAGAATAAAGAAAATGGATGTATGAACTATAAGTAATTTCTTCAGCTCAAGATATTCAACACCTAATGTAGAATAAATATCTTTCCTTTGTATATTTATGCATATATGTGCATGACAATCCGTTCAATCCAAGCTACAAGAAGTGGTAAAAATATGTAACTATTATTTTTTATATATATAGTTTTTTTCTTTAATTTTAAAATCCATTTCTGACATCTGGCATAAAATTTGATGCACAAACCGTTAATAAATCAATTTTACAGATCAATGGTTCAGAAAAATTATTGTACAACAACAATAAAATCAAGTTTGAGATTCTGAAAAAATTAAATCTAAACAAACCGACTTTGCTTATCTCCTGGAGCCACACTGCAACATCATTTCAAAATACATTTCCTCTAGAAATTTAAAAATACTTAACAATTGCACTACAAATAAATCTAAAAAAGCTGCCGAGAAATTTCTGTAAAACACAAGAAGGTTTTCACACCGTACAAAAACCTGACACACTTCAACGATAAAATACTATTTACAACTATTTTTACAATCACATCACGTAATTAATTTGGCAATTTAAGTACAGTACGTAAGAGTATTAAACTTCTAGCCTATACATTACAGAATAACAAGACTTTAAACGGCTAACAGGACAAAACCCTTAGCTCAACTGCCCCTTATTAGTTCAACTGATATTCTACAATGTATTGAATATCACAATCTCGGGTGACTACCCGTAGCAATACCGGATATATACACTAGCCTATAACAAGTATGTTGAACACGAAGATAAAACAACACGTTGTGCCGCGACCAGTGAGTGCTGTAGAAGCTATGTACAAGGGTAGGCATCCAGTGGCAGTAACAGATCAAAATTACGCCTTGCAGACCGTCAAGACAACACATCGATTGTAAAAAAGTTCTTTTATTTAAACTTCAAAACTTCAAAAACTGAATTGACAGTTGAAATAAATAAAAATAAAAATGGCAAAGATTCGAGGTAGTGGTGTCAAATCCACATATTGAATACTAATAAAAATCTAATTCAAGATTCAATCAGCTGTATTCAAATAACACCCATTGTTTACTTCCGCTACCTTACCGCATGTTTGTTTGTTCATGGCATTTAACGTAATGGATGTAAAATTTCTTTGGGCAGATTTTTTTTAAAACTACCTTATTTGCATGAGATTACTACAATGTAACCGCCATCGTACAAGATGTTTAAGACGTTGTCACAACACAAACAGAGAAACAGTGAACGGTTTTGAAAATCAATTATGAATATTGGAGTTTAATTTATAATAAATAAATACTATAGTAAAAGTAGATTTTCCTTTAGTAGTTGATTAAAATTTTTAAGATTCAAGATTCAAAATTCTAGTGAATTTGACCATCACTACTTAACAATAGCTAACATGAGTTTTACCCCAAAACATCTCTCAGATAAAAACACTTTCAATGTAGTCGATCTCAGAGAAAATTAAAAAAATTAATAGTTAAAACAGCGCAATTTAATATTGTACACGTCAAATCATTACTTGACTGATGCCTACCCATAATGCTCGTACAAACGGCTTACCAACAATCTACAACTAGTTTAATCGATAATCTCTAAAAGTCTTATCTACTATTACAAAGCTGATTTGAAAACCCATTTGAAGATGGTGCTCACACAAAAGTCAACCCACAGAGCTCGTACACCACTACACATATTGTAAAAGAAGTTTTAACAAGTTTACTCCTAATAAAATAAGTATTCCCCACAGGGGTTTTACTTTTATTCACACCTAAATTACATTCCAAGTCCGAAACTTAATGGAATGTAAACTAATGGATATGATAAAATATGTTTTACAATGTATAAAATGTTCATAAATAAAAATGGATGGCATAAAATAAGTACAAAGTTTTCATATACACAGAATTAATTAAGTATTTAGCTGCATTTATCAATATGATCTGAGAACCTAAAGACAAGCCTGAAAATGGATTATCATGGAATAGTTTTCATTTGATATTTTACATCGAAAGAAGCATTTGAAAGAATGTTAGGAAGATGCCTATTACCAATCATTGTAAAAATCCACCACTTCAATTGGTTCTTTTGTGATTTGATCGTTTTAAAAGAAATCTATATGCACAAATAATGGCTCAATTAAAAAAAATAACTTGTTCAAAAATATTTTCTCAGATCATCTTTGGTAATTTATTAGAGATTTATAATTTTACTCTGGTCTTAACAAGCATATTGCTTTTAATACGTCAATTTGTTGGCTAGTATCAATTAAATAATAAATGTATAAGTTACATTCTTAACTTACGTGATGTATAAAATATTTGTCAAGTAAATCCGGCTAAAAAGCCTTGTGATGTCAAAATTACAAAGATGGCAAGATAAAGTAAAAATAACAACATAAAACAGAAATATAAAAATCCAGGTACTAGCGTTGACAAACAGTTTTTAAACATGTCTTGAACACAAATTACTCGAAAGAAACATTTGTGATGTGGACAGCAAATCATCTTAGAAACGTCACAAATTACGGAGTCACACGACACTCATGTTGATATAGTCACAATATCTACCAAGTATTATAACTGTAGTCCAACTACATTGCACCAAGCATATTATATTGCACGAGAATAACAATTACGTGGCTGATTACGAGATAAACATGATTTACGGGATTGTCCAAAATGGATGCCTACTGGGACGAACATCGAGTTCCACTCTGCGCTTGTGTCACTTACATTTACGGGTTTGTCAACGGAAAATACAGAGACAAAATGGGAGCAGGCGAGTATTAGTGTCATACTGAACATTTGAGTTGAGATTATTAAATATAGGTTTTCATTCATAATTTGGTAAACTTTATATTATTCCTCTCCAGGTGAAAAGGTTCTAATTCACTATTGTTCTATTTATGTTCTAAACATTGATATTTTGGCAGTTTAATGGTGTAAGTACCGTACGTAATTGGAGAAAGTGTGTTGTTATCAACTGCCTAGAACATTTCAAATAAGTGAATTACTTGAGTTGTCCTCCCTTCTTCCTTAATATTCCATGTGAAATATAAATTCTGTTAATTAATAAGTTAAACATATAATATGGTCAAAATTCAACAACTTTTAAATGTGTACTTTAATTATCGCTACAAAACTGTTGTACATTTTTAACCTCATTCGCATCAAGGTTTGGTATATTTCCTGAATTTCAAATAGACAGCTGTCCTCTGTATTGTACAGAGTATTTAACTTCAAGACAGCTGATCTGTACGATAATCTGCTGTACAAGACACATGGGGACAATGAATCAACAACATCTAGCTCATCAGTCCAAGACTGTGTTACCAAGTCTGAATATGACATGGTTCATTAATCAAATCAGTTTAGTTGCAGTAAATTTATCAATAAAATCACAAATACTCGCCCATTCCTAGTAAAAATTTAATCAAGACAAATAAGATATTAGAAATCAGTTTTGAAGTAGCCAAATCTTTCTTCTTCCAAACAAAAAAAATACCAAGGTATTAGTTTACAGTCACTCAATTTGATATTAAAACTTTGATCAGGGACTAAGCTAGAATTTGAACGAATTTAGATTGTTCTCAAATTGATATAAAAATAATAACATTTTAGAGCAAAAAGTTGGAGGGAAAGAATAAGATAGTTCAAGTCCATACAAAGAAGAAGTCTAAAGAGTATGAATAAATGAGATTGACTGTTCAACTTTTCATTACTATTTACTCCCTACAAATTATACTACGTCAAAACATTTCTAAAATCTAAAATAGATCTAATAAATAATCGAGACTCATAAAAAAATTACAAGTGTAAAAATAATAATATACAAAAACTTAAGAATAATTGATATTACATTACCTAAACTAAATTCTCTTACTGTCAATAAGGATGCCAGTGTTTGCACTTGAAGATTTTTAACAAGTATTATAAATTAACATTTTCTCTTTAGAACCCTACTTAAAACACTTAAAAAGGTGCGTTTTCTTTGGATTTCGCAATAAGATGAGAAGTTTTCTTGCAGTATCAAAAGTAAATGGTCATAAATTATACTCCTGACAATCTAAAAAAAATAATCTACTTTGCCTTGAAAATTCCTACACAAAAAATCCTAAAAACCCAACCAATGTTACAGTTACATTCAACAAAATGCAAAAAAATGTCCTAGAAAAATCTTCACTGTGAAAACACTGACAAAACCAAAATAGACGGCCGGACGACCGCTTTACCTAAAACTATGAGGGACACAAGTGCAAAGTGGGGAGTCCTAGAACCAGTAAGCACTGTCTGAGCCTCATGATTGCAACGCGGTGGAGATCTCTCTGTGAATTGTGGCGAGCTCTTGTATCCGCAGAGCAAACTGAGAGTTGAGCGTCTCCATGACCCGGCGCTGTGACTCGTGCGCCTCCAACGCAGTCTCCAGTTGTGCCTGGGCAAGTGACACACCAGCTTGCAACTCGGCGTTCTCTTGCTGCAGAATCTGCAACACATTTCACATTAAAAAAAGATTCATTTCTGTTTATTTATGTTTATCAAGGTCATTGGCATTTTATATACAGGGTTAGTAAAAAGTGTGGAGACCCCCTGTTAATTTTTAACGGTCCATACTATAAAAACTAAACTTGGCACACCTTTAAGGCATATTATGAAGTACTTTTTGGGCATAACCGCCACTTACATATACATCCCCAAAATGGGGGATTTTGGAGGAAACTCAAAACTTTCAAATGGTAAGACCCATCGAGTGACCCCTCATTTTGAAGGACCAGATAAAAGAAAACTAACAACGCAAACGAGAGGTATCTATATCAATCCAGTAAAAATGGCAGCCAATTGAAATTCTCAGAAGTGAAATTTAGCTTACTGTTTTTTCCAAAAAAATAAACATAATTGAATTGAGCCACCTAAAGAGCAAATGTAGCTGAGGTAAATTACTGATTAGTGAAATGTGCCAACTTTTTGACTAAACCAAACTGAAGGGACAACTTATTGTAAACTAAACCCATACAATCTTTTTTCATCAACTATCAAAGTAACAAAGGATAAGAGAGAAAATAAGGTTTTGGACTGTGGCACACTTTATTAGTGGCTCATTTAGCTGTCTTTTCACAAAAAATAGGCTTCGGATCGTCCATACAGATGGAATGTCTACTTCAGTATCCAACAGTCATTGCTTTGGCGGGTCAATAACCAATCTGGTTGTAAATAGTACCAGTGACATTCTAGTCAACCGACACTTTACATACACACCTTACAACGCTCCTCATGTGGTTGTTTTATGCTGATCCTCTTGAGCTCTTCATCTTTGTTCTTCAACTCCACCTCGAGCTGCTCCACTCTCAGTCTCAATGTTGCCAACTCCTTCCGCAACTCCACAGCTGCTTCACTGCCACCTGTACGGAAAACATGTGTTACAATTGTGGAAATGGAGCAAAAACTCATGGTTGCGTTATGATAAATATTTGTTGAGGTCTGAGTTACTTACTTTTTTCTTTTACAATTCCATAATCCCAATTATTTCTTTCCCCACAATACCTACAGCCTAGCTTTCCCAATCAGCCTAGTTCAATTTGAGCACAACTCCTCGTTAATGGTTAACTACTGGTAAATAGGACCAATGAGAAACCAGCACATCGCACAAAGAATGGATGGAACAGGAAGTCTACCTGGGTATCCAAGTATCATTAGTTTCTCAATTCCCTTTAAATGTTTCTCTACCCCTAAATTAGATACAGCAATCCAAAGGCTTTAAACATTTGCGCATATGCCGGAAATCCCAACTCTTTGCTCTCACACTAAATTCCAAGTCCTTAACCGCTGGACAAGCAACACACAAGCAGTTCCTTCTTAAACATTGCTGATAGATTTTAGAAGAAAAGGCAGTTGGCTTAGGAACACATAAAGGAAGAAGAAATGGATGTACATCAAACTCACCTATCACTCCAAAAAAGTTGATAGCAAACAATAAGATTACATACACCATTAGAGTAATATTTAGACCTTACAAGGGGTTTCTTTGGAAGAAAAAAAAGTAGTTGAATAGAAAAATGATACCATTTATTTCTGTTCCGAAGAAGCCCCCTTTGGAGGGGCAAAATATAAAAAAATGTAAAGGTGTTTGGCAGGGATTTAACCTGGAAACCTCTGGACCTAACTACCACTAGACCAGATAAAATGCTTCATGACGGTGTTTATGATGGTTAGATTGCACTTTACCTTTGGCAGCCTCCAGTTCAATATATTTAGACTTGAGTCGCTGGTTCTCCTCCTTGTATGAGTGCAGCTGCCTCTTCCACTCGTCCACGTTAGCTGTGCTCTCCTGCAGTGCGCTCGTCAGTCGCATGTTGTTGCTCTTGAGTGTGGCCAGCTCTATCTCCCACTTCTTGGCATTCGCTGAGCTGTAAACAACAGACAACATTATCTTGGATAGCGAAAGAAATGGAATTAATTTTGAGTGAATGTTGAAGAAATATGCTGTCAAGAATAGACAAATTATGCATCCTATGCCAACAACCTGACGTATTTGCATTGATAAGGCAAAACGATTAGATGGCTACACAACACAACACAAGTGACAATGGCAAGGGCAAGAAGGCACAGGACTAAATGAGATATGCAAGGCCAATGAATATGTTTTAAATAGAAAGATGTACTCTAAGCCAAGAATAAGATGCAGTAAAACCCCAAACCAAAATAAAGGAGGTGAAGCAGTTGTGAATAATCTATTTTTCAGTAAAAGATGTAACATAGAGGACAAGGGCCTAGGTTTTCATTATTTTTTGTGAGGATAGCAGGCATAGGCTTGCATGAATGGGGAAGAGTCTGTCACTGACATAATTTTACAAAGGAAGAGAGCTTTTATACATACATAGCCCAGCTTTGGTTTAACAAGATGCAATTAAAAGAGTAAAAGAGTGGGCGGCTTGGGCGGTATCTTTAAGATATGTTAACGATGTTGAGTAGCTGAGAAATATTTTGGATGGTTAACTATTAAGGTTTTTCTAAGAATGTTAGTTTGCTTTACACATACCTGTGTGCTAGGGCCAGTTTAAGTCTGTCGTTCTCATACTTGAGTTGAGTCTCGCCTGATGCAGTGGCAGGTGCAGCCGCCATCACTGGAGTGGGCTTAACATTCTCTGTTGGCTGATGTTTCGGGCTTTCTCCTGGCTGTAGACATAAAGCTACCGTTAGAGGCTAACAATACACTTAGAGCATTTCACTTCAACCAATGTCCAAATAAAACACCCACTCTGCAGTGTGAGTATTTCACACTGTCCACAGCCCGAAGTGGGTAAAGATTTTGGACACACTCCGAATTAAGAGTTTGAGATTTAACATATACAATCCTAAGTGTAGGTTATGACTAGTAGGTTATGAGGTTGAAATACAATAGTGTCTTGGTTATCCAACAGGGCAATAGTCTTGTCCTTGACTTAGACTGGCTGCAGCAAGGTCAGATAACACAACAAATAAAATGTTAACGTTGTCTAGTCTTAAGGCTATACAAGTTTATCTCCCATCACAATACTTCATTATTCTGTTAGAAAGCCATCATCACAAATGATATCCCTTAAACAACAACACTAAAAGTTGTTTTTTTTTACTAGGTAACAACAATGCCTGGAATTGTTTTTCACAATACCTCGCCTAAAGGTTGCAACATTATCCCTCCAATTAAATCCATTAGTGATTGGCTGGATCTGAACCCATGACCTAAAAGGACTCTAATCTTGTTGTTACTAGCTACTGTATTATACTGTTCAATTTACAGGATTAAGGAATGTGTGGTTTTCAATTATGATTTTCCAGGTTTGGTCGGGATTATGTATTAATCTTGATATTTTAGGTACTTTCTCACTTGAAGACAAGATCAGATTTCAGATCCCAAAAAACGAGAAAAACATGTTTTTACTAATTGTGGTGCAAAGTTTCTCCAATAATATCCTAAGTTATAAGACACACTTCTACTTCTATATAAAAAAGGTCAATGCTTCAAATTGTTCTACCTGGAGTCCGGAAATGCTCTGAGTTCGCTGATGACCCTCATTGTCCATGTGTGTAGGTGCTGGGCTGGTACATGTGTTGTTGTGTGGAGGTGGGTCCAGTAGCGGTGCCGGATCAGGCATAGCGGCACGTGCCGTGATGGGACTCGCGTTGGCTGATGTGACAGGCGTGGTGCCGCTGGTACCATTACTAGTAGCCTTGGCGGTAGCCAGCCTTGTGGCCTCTTTCACTTCTTGGAACTTCTCTATGAACTGCAAGAAACACATAAATAAAATGGAGGTGAAAGTTAGTAGTGAAACCTACAAGTGATGGTCAAACACAGGAATTTCAAATCTTAAATCCAAGCCCTATGATTCAATTTTTAGGTCAATAAAAAAATTGAATGTAGAGTAGAAATATATTTTAACCTCCCCACCTGTCTATTTATTTTATCCTACTTATTACGAAAAATATAAGGAACACAGGTAACTGAACTTCTGTACTGGTTGGGAATGTATGTATATTGAAGCAATATTTGATACAAAAGTGATATTCTTGAGGATAACCAAAAGACATATTAATCTGTTTGAGAAATGATTCAGTTGGCCTACATTAATTATTAGTAATCCGATCAGCTTGCAGGCAGCGCTACTCGCCGCGCCTCGACATAAAACTGAGATTTGGACACTGTTCAACCCAAAATTTTAACAAAACTAAGCACGATAAGAAAGAAAAGTTAAATACAAAGTAAAGTTAAAGTAAAGTAGGCCTATATTTAATTATCTACAACTTTCTCACAGACAAAACTTCTCTGACCAACAATATTTATATATACCGTACCTACTACCAAATGAAATTTTAATTTTCAAAACCATAGCATTAGCGTGCAGGGTTTATTATAGCTCTGTACGAAATTTCAAAATTTTATCACAATTGTAAGGGTGTAAAAATGCAGTATATTTAGACCGCGACCACTAGTTCCATACTACCGTAATGGTGAAACGGCCGGGAGTTAATGCTCGGTGCGACGTTGCCAATTCTCGCTGGCCGCGGCCTGTAGTTAAAGGTGGCCGTGCCATAATGCTTCAGTCTCATTGTGAGCTGTGCGACCAGTGTTCCATTGTTGTGAGCTATTTGCCCTACATCTTATTTTTACTTTTCCTACATAATAGATTTTTTGTGATTGGTTATAGTTTTCATTTTGTATCATGACTGCTACTCTCTGTATAGCTTAGGTTGTGTCCAGCTTAGGTTGGGTTTTGTGTATTGTTAGTTGTAATGTGTTAGTTAGGGTTTTTTTACCTGAGGAAGGGTAAGGGATCAGATTTCGCATCCAAAACTTTGTGTATTGTATTATCTAACAGTGTTGTATTATCAATATTTAAGGGAAACAGTGCAGTATTTGTACAGACAATATACAAAGAGTAAGAAGGGACTAAATATTGGAAGTTAATGTCAGTTGAAATTGCTTAACAATAGTCTATAGGCCTAGTGTTTTGCTATTCAAATCAAAGTTCAACAAATACCTATAACAATTTTTAAATACATTTTATTTCACCCCTATTAAAATTTTACTCTTGATCATTTCATGATGTGTGTAAGTTAAAAAAAAGTTGGGGCAAGCTACATACATACAAACATAGTCAAGCTAACCATTACCTTGTTCAACTCAGCTTCGGAAGAAAACCCAAGGCCGTAAACAGTGTTGGCCCTGATGTCTGACCACTGGCCAAACTTCTGGGAGGTTTTTGTGAAGGTCATGCTGGGGGTTATGGTGCTGTTGATAACAGCCTAAAAAACAACATATAATTTATATCCACAAAATCTCATAGTTAATCTGATATCTGTGAAAATTAAATAATCCGCATGGCTTATTGTAAGGGGGGAGTTCTCAAATACCAGGGTCCCTCTAGGCTGAGAGACTTATCTTTTTAATTTTTATTTATTTATTTATTGAATTACATGTCAGTACATCATAATAACATGACATATTGTCATTGATTAAATAAAATTTAAAACTAATAGATAAAATAATACATCTGTATTTACACAAAAACTATTTTTAAAGTGATGTCTGTGTGTGCGTGTGTGTGTAAATGTGTGCAGAGTTATAGACTACACCTGTGGTTTAATTTTGATGAAGTATTGTATGTGAACCAACCCATGGAATCCCCAGAAATTTTTCTTTTCATATTTTTAAATTTGGATTTATAATGGTTATTTATACTTGAAAGGCATTTTCTCCTAAAAACAAAACGGACGGATCTGATTTTCACAGACAATTTTGATTGAAATTCCACAAAGTTTAGTACTTTTGACCTTGAACAAAAGGGTACAACCTCCAACGCTGTATTTTTTTGAAATTTTATCCATAACAACCCCCTCCGGTTACCCAGGATAAAATGTTTGTTCATTAAAGTAGTAAGATGTTTAATTTAAAAGTCAGGCTGATGGGTGAAAAAATGTGTCAGTTTGCTTTAGATAGCTGAGTGACCTAAGGCTATATGTAGAGTAACCACAGGCCCCGAGAGTTTGCACCCAGCCGTCCACAAAACAAGTCTGCCATCAAACACTTGTAGGCCTATTTAATCAAATTGTGATTAGATGTTTTTGTACTTAATCAAAATATTTTTTTACATAAAAAACACACACACTGTACATTATGAATAAAAAAAGTAGACTTCCATTCATCATTGTGATTTCTGAAAAAGGTAACTGGCAGCAAGCTGTTATAAATGAGATGTACACAATTGATTAGAAAAATAAAACTAATTACATAAAGAGAAATAACAAAAACATTGACTCGTGCAAAGCTTTAGTTCCTACTTTCTACCTAGGAAGAGTAAAATGGACAGAATAAAATGTTGAGAAAACAGCTGTTTAGCAAACAAATTCAAGTGAGCGAATTTTATTGACAACTGTGAACAAAATAAATTGATAGGCCTACAAGTATATTTTTCTATGTCAATTATTCACAGAACCAATAATTATAAATAAAGGCCAGCGGTAACAGAATATACATTCTTACCTTTGTCCCTTCAACGCTGATGATGCGGTATAGGCTTCTTGTCGAGTCGTAGAAAAATGAAACATTTACTGCCGTCGCAGAGGCTGGAATCCATGATCTCTTCGTTTTTGGATCAATGTGGAAAACATGGGCTTTACAAGTGAAGATTGGCTGTTCACTGAAAATCAAGACATCATTAAAACATACACAACCTTCCAAGGTATTACTTTATTGATAGCAATCTGAACTTGATTTCTCCCTGGGACGGGTTTTGAAGTTCAAACTTAACTTAATCAAATTTAATGTATATAGCTAGTTTACCTATGAATAGCTTACTGTATCTTCATCAGACTTTATTCAAATCAGGCAATATTTTATCAAACTCACCAATTTTACCAAAAACACAAACTGATATGATTTAACCCTACTCATGCAGCATTATGATATTTTACTAGGTGGGGATCTAAGTATTAATTTTCCTTTAGTTCTTAACTTGATGGGATGAAAAATTGCATAAACTAGGCTGAGTTTATTAGAATGTTTCTTGGCAAACAGGTGTACTCTCAGTGCCGGATTTAAGCTACTTGCGGCCCTAGGCTAAATTAATTGAGCGGCCCCCATCCCTGAGGTAGAATTCCCTTCAATAGCGGTGAATTCATAAAAATCTCCCACAGTCATCATCATCGTCAACACAGATCACGAATGAAATCGTGAACATTTCCAGCGGGCCACAATCACGGGTAAATCATCAATCATTGTCACCCACGATCGCGGTATAATCGCGAACACTTACCCTAAAACAAAGGAGACGATATTATCGTCACTGACACTCACAACTGCGGCAAAATCGTGAACATGTCCCGTGGGCCGCAATCAAGGAGTAGCCTAATAAAAGTTCATGACAAAGGTGGTTTTGTTATCTGCGGATATGTCAGCAACAGTAGGCATAATAAAGTTTTGAATAGTATTCCAGAAGATCTCAAATCAACGCCTGGTAAAGAAATCAATTTTGGGAATCAAATGGAAAACAGATGATGATTACACCAAGATTGATAAGAATAGACGAATCGATTCAAGACAAACCAAACAGAAGCCACTTGCAAAAAGAGAAGCACTGAAATTATTACTACAAATATTTGATACTGTAAAAGAAGACGTCAGGAGTTGACGTCAAGACTGTCTATGGAAAAAAATAAAAACTTGAAACTGTAGAGATATGTATAGTTCTTTAAGGCGGAAGAATGTCACCACAAACATAATTTAACTATATAATTAATTGCTCTTTCTTGCTGTTTATTTAATATCATGTTCAGCTGTTTTTTGTTTATTTATATTTTGTAAACATATATCATTACATTCTGTTGTTCATCCCGACTAGACCACTCTTCTCTCTTTCTTTTTTTTATATTTTATAATATAGCCTACTTACTTTTTACTATTTACAACAACCTACTTTACTACAACAACCTGCGATCTGCCAATATTAAATTTTATACAGTAGACCCCCCCTTAACCATCCCTAATGGGACCTAGGTCTAGGTCTGATAACTCAAAAGGTCGGTTAAAACGGGCAATCCCTAAAATCATAACATAATGAGGTCCTTTTCATTTAGACTTATACAATCATTATTTTGAAGTCATACTTGCATTATTTATAAAATAAACTACTCTTATCTCCTTCTTCCTATTGATAGAAAAGTCACAAATAAACACAAAACACGGTTAAGTCAAATAGGCCTACTTTCAGTCTATTATAGTAGGCCTACTAGGCAAGAGTCAATAGAAATTTATATTTTAATAATTTTAGTACAATACTGTAATGTTTTAATTGATGCTTTCCAAATCCATCGTAATACAGTACAGAACCTTTTGTCGAAATTAATTATACAAGCAACCATTTTGTTACAAGACAGGATGTTTATTTAAAGCCTCTCACTGGAGGCTCGAGGCACAAAAACTATCTTGACCTTGGAGTTGTTAACCCCTCTTCCCTGCCATCCCTACAAGTGACATTGTTTGTTTGAACTCCAGCGATAAGATAATCAGTTCTCAAAATAGTAAATGCACTTTTAGGATGTCATAAATTTGACGCACAGATAAAAAATCAGATCAGATGTGCTCGCGCTTTTTTGTCATCAATACAAAATAACTTATTCTAAGTCATATCCTATGGAGATAAGCGTATGGTTCAGTTCTCATCGGCCAGCGTGGGAGCGGAAATGCCGAGATTCCTAGAAAGAGTCGGTTAAACCGAACTGCTCTCAAACCAAGGTCGGTTAAAACAAACTCTATTATTTTACGATCGAATGCAGATAATCCGATTATCGGTTGATACGAGGTCGGTTAAAAGGGGGTTTACCAGTACTGTAATATGATGTCCTCCTCCAGTATCTTTTATTTTTTTTAAAGACCTTGGCGGCCTCTTTTAACCTAGCATAATTGCCCGTCCACATAGACTAAGCGCCCGTGCGTGGATCGTTTACAGCAAAGCAAGGAGTGAGCCGGTACAGTACAAAGGTGAACTGTACTGATAAAATGTTATCGGCAGTGACCAGGATCCGAACCCACAACATCGCTGCCTTGGGCCCGAAGTCCGCGACGCTACCGACTCACTAAGTTTGGAAGTGGTGGAGGACAGACCCAATAATATTAATGATGGTGGGAGCAGCGGTGTTGACAAAACGATAACGATAACTCAAATAATTTTTGTCCGATTTTGATAAAATATGGTTTTAAAGGTGTGAGGCGGGATAAACTTAAATGAGTTTATGAACGAGCATCAAAGGACCTTAGGAACGGGGTTTTATGGGGTACATTTTTTGTTTTTCAAATTTTTGACCCGTCTAAATAACACCAAATTTTTCTATTTGTCTCTAGACCTTAAAGAGATTAAAAATCAAATAATTTAGTAGGGCCTGTATCAAAGTGTTTTTGTACGGTTATTGGTAACTTAACGGATAAAATTTAAAAAAAAAGTAAGCCAATATAAAATTCCCATGTTTTATGGAGAATATTGTAAAATGTTATAAGGTGCCTAGTTTGCTTGTGTATGGATATATTTTGATCAAACTTGACAAATTTATTTATTTTATACTAAGCTATTAATATTTTACTACACAACACACTTTATTAGCCTCCTTGTAGCAGCAAACCTAGGTACTTGTCCTAAACTAATGCCTAACCCAATATTATTTAAATACATTTAGCCTAGGCAAATGGAAATTTGCTTAGTCTGCAGGTTTGTTGCAGCGGGGGTTTTTTTATTTGTAATTACTTAAGTTAGGAAGTAAGTAATCAATTAAGGATAAATTAAACACAAAAAGCTTCTATAGTAGAGTCTCCCAAACTCAGCGTAATGTGGACTGTTTGGGTGCCGAGTTTGTGAAAAGCCGGGTTATCGGAAACTAGGGTTAAAAAATAGGTACAGTACAATGTTTAAGCTTTTTAACTGCCTTTATTATTTGTATTTAAGTTACCGGTATATTACAAGTCAGTATAATGTCATCAAATATAGTACAAAAAATCCTTGGTAAGTTACCTTATGAAATAAAAATTGTATACTGGATACTACATACATACTGAACTCAAAAAATCAATAATTCTCTGAGCCAGGTGATGGCCGAGTTAGGTATCCGGACTACCGGGTTATCGAGTGCCGAGTTAGCGGGACTCTACTGCAGGCATATAATGTTTTGTTAAAGTACTGTTTTTTTTATATCATATGGCTTAAATAATAAATGCAATAAGTTTGCCCTTTTAACTTAAGTTGATAAGAAATCGTATAGGGCCTAGGCCTAAGTTAAACATCGATCAGTTATGTATCATTATTCATCTGATAATATGCAGGTTACCCAACTTAAATAATAATACCGTATGTGATTAATAGGTCTAAGCCTTAAGTTACATCAATTTGTTTTTAACTCGATTTTAGTGTAAAGACAAATTGGTTTACTTTTCATAAAATATATAACTTTAAAATTACTTTCATATCTCCACTTTTTTCTATCTTTCCCCACACTTTCAACCAATATTCACTCACAACTATGTTATACCAACTTGTCTGTGCAAACAATACCCAAAGCCTAAATGGTCCCTAGTCCAGGTCTGGGTGGGTAGGGCCAAGTAAGACCAATTTTGAAAGATCTGCCATTAACCAACATGGACATACCTCCGTGAGACCTTTGGTTTAATGGAAAACAGGATTGTTTTGTTAAAATGCCAAATAAATACTCTCCAATTTTATCACTCTTCTGGCTTTATAATTCGATGTTTTATTCGTTGATGCCATAAAGTCTCCCGAACACCCTTTTTCGGATCGGTTTATGGACACTATAAGATTTTAATGATACTTACCCCATTGCATCCTTTCCAGACGTCATATTTAGTATTTAAGTTAATTTATAAAAAGAATTCAATGGTGAAACAATAATAATTGTCAACAGAGTTAGCGTAATCCAAATGACATAAAACTAATTTTCTTCACAAATTTTGACAGCCGTCCACATCCTACTCACTCAGAAAGCACAGACCAGACCAGACACAGCAGAACCCGAACTCTCATTCTCTCTCACTCACTCAACTCGATCCGCCCGACCGTCCAATCCAAGTCCAATTCCAATATAAGACGATCTAGATCTATTCTTTCCATAAAGTACTTAAATAATTATGTTCGTCTATACTATATAAAGATAAATTTAATAGTTCCTCTATTAGTGATTTTTTTTTTTAGATATAATTAATTGTACAATAATAAGGCAGATAGTAGTTCCATCAGCATAGGTAAACAAATCATTCAACTTTCTCAGACCATTGTATGTTTTCAGCTACAATGAGTTTACCTAAAAATATATAGTTTTGTCTACGCAAGTGGCATTTTAGTGAATATCCCCCATATATGAATAACCTATTACCATACAGACATCTAATCTATATGGACCAGCTGTAGCCAATTTTTTGTTAAAAGATACTGTACGTAGTTGAGTGAGACAGTCACAGAATACGCTAGTGACTAAAACTCTTTTGGTCTTAATTTTTTGTTGATGGGTCAGAAATTATTTTGATAACATTCGTTAATTAAACCATAGATAAAACATACTCCCTTAGGAACTAAGGCCGGACGCACACAGATCAAGCATTTCACCTGAAGCAAGTGTTGCGAGGCAAAATGTTTCGCTGGGTACGAGCGCCCCATGTATTTCAATGGGACGCCGCACACACGCCGCACACTGATCAAGCAAACGTTGCGAGGCACCTCGCAACGCCTTGAAACATTTGAGCAGTTGCTCGACGAATGGATCCCATACAGCACGATGTTTGATGTTTCAAGGAGCAAAACGTTCTGCGCATGCGCCAAATCCCTTCTAGCTAGTAAAGCTTTGTGGCTTTCAAAATTCAATTGACCGTTTGTTGTTTAAACAATAACTCTTCTTTAAAAAATTAATTTAGAAGTTGCGTTAAAACTTAACAATTATATTTTGAATTTATAATGAACAATACTGTTGTTTAATTTTTCTTGCTACCATTTTGTTAGTCATGCAAAGTAGTAAAATAATTAAGAAATTACCAAGGTTACTCAGTTCATTAATCATTATTTACATAACTATCACGAAACTATCTAATAATAATTTCTTACGGTATTTAAACCCCTTCCTATAATATAGTATAGCAATTATTCGACAATGATTGTAAAATTTCCCTAGATCTGATTTAATTTCTGAGAGGAAAGCTGTCTATTAACAGATTGATTGGGCGAACCCAAGGTTGTCTTTATATTTAGTCCAGCATTTTGCAAAAACTGACATACAGCAATAATAGTTGACTTCCTCGTCACATAAAAACAATACTGTAGTATAAGACCAGTAAACATGTACATTTGAAAGGGGACTATGTGTCATACCGCATGAATGTCTTCTTATAATGCATTTGGAAGTTGCATGAAGTAGGTATAAAGTTGGAAATTTAAAGCGCTACATTTAGACCCGGAGACCCCAGTTAACATAAAACTTTACAAATAACTACAAAATTAGATTATGTTACAATACAAGTGAATTAGAATCCCATTTATAAAATTCACTCACTTGTAATAGGAATTTAATAAATACCCCCGCCGCAGCAAACCTGCAGACTAAGTGAATTTCCATTTGACTGATTCGATTTACACTGAAATGTCTACTGTACTTAAAAAATAAAGCTACACAGATCCTCTCACACCATTCTACACTCATCCTCCACTCATATTTGGGTTAAAATACACACATAAGTGGCGTCCCCATCTTAATGATTGATAATTGATAACATAATATGTAATTCTAATATTTATTTTTCTTAATTTTGCTTGAAACCAAATGCTGAATCATGCTTGAACCCCCCCCCCGCACACTGTAGAAGCAAATAAACAAAACGCTTCAAGCAAATCGTTGTGCAACATTTTGCTTCAGGTGAAATGCTGGATCATTGTGCGCCCAGCCATAGGCCCCTTTTATTCACCGCGGTTGCCCGCCACCGGGGCATGAATAAAAGGGGCCTTAGGGACTATGTTTTATCTATGCACGAACGCTATGCCGCTGGAAACACATCGTCTCGTTACGGTAATCGTGTTGCCTCAAGAGAAAGAGATATGACGTCACCACACTGTAGCCATAGTCGCTCCCGTGTGGCCATCCGCTCCTAAGATGTATCGAGTATCCATGCATCTTGATCCGCTCCACCGTCGGTTATTTTATTTTCGGTTTCGAGTTTGTTCGAGTTCAGTCCAGTCACTCAGTTCTGTGCAGTACAGTCAGCTCAGCAGCTCGAGCAGCGCAACTGACAGTGTTGACTGTCGAGTCCGAGTCCGAGACTCCGACCGATCCGAATTCCGAATCCCAGTGTCGTACGTAGCCTAGAACTAGAAGTTACTTAAAGTTGTCTGTAAAATGGCCGCTTCCTGTGTTGATAGTGATAATTTTGATATGGACGCAGAATCATTAGAACCCTCCCTTCAAAATGTCATTGATCAGAATTCATTGAAGTGGATATTTGTTGGTGGTAAAGGTGGTGTTGGAAAAACAACTTGCAGGTTAGATTTAGTTGATGACCCTTTTGTTTACACTCTAGGCCTAACCTAACTTTGAGCAACATAATGTCACAAAATTATTGCAAATGTCACAAATTTTCAGTACATTCCAAATTCACTTAACGCGCACTATTTAAGCTTAACTTTTCCTATCAATAATCCCATAAATAGACTACCTTGAAGTATTTCATAGTTAGTGCTAGTAAGAGCATGTTTAAGTTGAGTGCTTTTCTAGAGACTTATTCTAGCCTTCTACCTTACTCTACAATTATTACCATGTAGGTTTAATGCCAACCTTTTGTCTAGTCTAAAACATCACAATTTTATTATCAGATTATAGAAATAGTATTGGTGTCAAGGAGAAATCATCCACAGGATTTCATCTCTCACAGATAACTTAACCTTTAAAATTTGTGCAATATGCTTTTTTTATATAAATATGCTTTACAATAGGCCTACTGTAGCCTATTTTCATTCTATTTATTATCTCCATGGCATTCACTAAGCTTAAAAGTTAGGCTACTACTCCACTAGACCTTTTAACCACTAATCAACTTTACTAAGTTAATTCTTTTATCCCTTTATTTTATGTACTGTACCGGTATGAGTTTCAATAATTATGTGCAGGCTAGATGACAGACATTTTGCCAGGTCTACTTGGACAAAACTATGTAGAAATGTATATAATCTTGGTATAGCTTGTGTAGGCCACTTAATATCCTATGATTATTGTTGTAGCCTAAGACTTAACACCGATGATCAAAAAATGGTGCAATTTCCTTGAACAAGATTAAGAGTTCAAGTGCAACATTTAAACTTGTTGAGTAACTTAACTTGTCCTTTGGTAACTTAACCACACTTTTATTAATTCCCACTTTCAGCTGTAGTCTGGCTGTTCAGCTATCAAAGGTGAGAGAAAGTGTTCTTATCATATCTACCGATCCTGCTCACAACATCTCCGATGCTTTTGATCAGAAGTTCTCCAAGGTTCCTACCAAAGTAAAGGGATTCAACAATTTATCTGCTATGGTAATTTAATATTTTACACTTGAAGATAGTATTTTAATGAGTAACTTTTATGTAGTTTACACTCAATTGCCTCACACTTAATGATGTGACATTCAAGGTAAATCGAAGTTACACTAACGTGTCATCAGCCAACTGGATTTGATTCCTGTTGTGGCAGGTGTCACACATCTTTCTGAATACGAGGCATGTTGTTTAAGTAGGTTTACCGATACCTTTTTTAAACATTACAGTATATAATCTTCTTTTCTGCATAATATTCGCCAATATTAGCAGGTAGGGTAATTATTTATTTAGTATAGGTGGCTCACAGCAAATTTTTAATTTTTATAACCTACTTTAGGCTATAGCTATTTAATCTTACCTCCTGAGTCCAACATACCATTATTTTTCACAGCAGATGAATATTACTAAAGATATAGCTGTTAAATGTACAATGTTTAAATAAACAAGGTATAAAAGACAAACAAAATTTAGGCTAACTTAGGTCTACAAGTGGAATCACAATATAAGAAGTTAATCCTCATAGGAAACCAGCTAAAATAGGATTATGTAGTAAAATGGTGCCGTTCTAACATATAACCTAACTGAACCAAACTTCTAAAACGTCAGCAAACTCCGTTTTAGTTTAATGAATTGAGTTGCTGGTTCTGTTACCTATAGACCTTATATAAACACTCCAAAACACTATTTGTAGTATTTTAAAGTGTTTTTACCAGGGTTTTAATTCTACAAAAACAGTCTTTAGTTTAAACCAACATCTCGATTCATTATGACCTAAACTTTACCTTACTAATCTAACCTAACTTAAAAACACTTAATACAGCCCCGAATTTGCATAAAGCTCGACCGACCATCCTGACATGCTTTATAAGAACTAAGTTTAAGTTACATACAATTAGTCTCAGTCTTTCATTTCATCCCTCTTGTAAATGTCATCCTTGCTACCTTGTTTATTCAAAAATTGTATATTTAAACAGCAATATATTCAGTATTATTAATTTACTTTGACAAATAATTGTATATTTGGATTCTGGAGGTAAAAAACTAATGTAAGATATCAAAATAAAAAAATTCTTTGGAGGCACCTGTTGTAAATAATTTACTAGTAGCACTTGGCATAACGTTGTACCAGTTTTCAAAGACCATACTCATAGAAGTCTGCCGCCTGACTTGTTAACCACTGCATCACAACTGTTTTGACTTTGTCCACTCCAATGTTGAATTGAAACCAGTTGCAATACTGCAATGATTCGGATCACATGAGTGTCTCAGGTATTTACACCAATTTTTATAGTTCGGCCGTGTAGAAAGCGACCTCCTCCAGCATTGGTTTAGCATTAGCGCGCAGGTCGTTTTCTAAGCGGCCGAACTATAGTGCCTGTTTTCATTTACACAGTTTTAGAATACACAAGTTTTGTGGCATTGGTCTAGAACAAATTTTCATGGTTACAGGAAATTGACCCAAACGTAGGATTCACAGAACTACCCGAGGAGTATTTTGATGGAGAAAACGATCCAATGAGACTTAGCAAGGGAGTAATGCAAGAGATAATCGGAGCTTTTCCAGGCATTGATGAAGCTATGAGCTACGCAGAAGTCATGAAGTTGGTATTCCTTTAACTTAATTAGTCCTACCTACCATTTAGTTATAAGTCAAATGGGCTAACTTCCTAATACTTGATATGAATTTGTTTAATAATTTGTGAAATTACTTAATTTGATAAAAATTTCAATTTCAATTTGGAACACAATATTGTATATTGAAGGATACGGTACTTTTATTTATATAATTTAAAGACATTAAAATACTTCAATCTAATTGATGGCAAATAATAAGAAAAACAAAATTGTATTATGCTTGTTTATAAGCTAGTCACAACCCCAGTTTCAGTAATCTAGTTTTGCCCTTAATATGAATGTCACCTTAGGCTTGTGAAGGGGATGAACTTTTCTGTGGTGGTGTTTGATACGGCACCCACAGGTCACACTCTGCGACTCCTATCCTTCCCTCAGGTCGTGGAGAAGGGGCTCGGCAAACTACTGCGACTCAAGATGAAGATCAGTCCTTTCATAAATCAAGTCAGTGGAGAGAACTTTTATCATCTTTTCTATTTACAATATTTTAATATTTTACTGCGTTATGCTTTGACAATCTCTTTGTTTTCATTCGATTTAATCTTACAAGCTTCTGATATAATTTATCTTTACACACACCGTTTAGCTCAATTCTTGTGAAAGAGAAAAGAGCTAACAACACTTGTTGCACATTGGCTGTTTACATTTGCTTAAGGTTTGTTCATGTTTTGTATTTTAACGACATCGCTGAATCTCTAAAGCTTTTAAGGATGGGATATTTATGCCGAAATGGGCTGTAGCACAAGTTGCAACTGTTTAGCATTTGACAAAAGTAAAATCTGGTTTAGTAGTAAATCCCTTTTTGGTATTTAGCTATTTGAACTTATTTTTTACGATATTTGCTCTTTTCAAATTTGTTATAAATTTGATAAATGTTGATAGGCAAAAAAACATTCTTTGTTAATTAACTCGTCTATTTCTAAATTCAGCAATATTTTTTATTTGATTAAATGTTTGCTGCAGATTAGTTCTTTGCTGGGCATTACAGACTTCAATGCAGATTCATTCTCCAATAAGATGGAAGATATGTTGGCGATTATTCGGCAAGTGAATGAACAGTTCAGAAATCCTGTAAGTAGTTTGGCACCTCAAAGACCTCACTTGTGTCATTCTCCTGCCTATAAATGATTTTCACTCATAGATCTATCTAACTTATCTTGCTAATATTTCTCTGAGTATATTGTACAGCTTTAGTCATACTACACGTTTTCCAAAGTAAGTACTCTTAGTTAATCACTTTATTAAGACAGCAGTGTTTACTGTTTATTGTGTGTGAATTTTAAGCTGAATATGAATGCAGGATTGCTCTGTAGAATAGAGTGAAGTGTTTAGTGTAGCTTTTTACAGACTAAGACCAGCTGTTTATTCAGCCAGGAAACGCCAAATTTCAAAGACATCAGCTGGGTCCAGTTGTGAACTATCAAGAAGCTATGGACTTGGTAGCTGCTATTGTCAATCAGCTGTTAAATATTTTCATATCTTCGTTTTTAAATTTCCACAAAGGAAGAGTAAATAAATAAAAAGGTCTTTATTAGCAAGTTCTTTTTTTTCAGAAGAATACATTCTGTTTTTCAAAACAACTCTTGTCCTTAATCTTAATAAACTACACATATAAAATAATCTACTTAAATAATCTATGAAAACAATCCATACTAACAATCTATAAAAAAATTTTTGACAAACATTACTTTAACATGACCAGAATTTTCGATACAAAACAAATTTGAAATGATAAAAAAAATACATTTACTTGAATTACTAATTAATTTGCTACAGAAATATTCTTTCAATTTTTTTTTAAATGTGTTCAGAATGTTGGTCCCCTTTACCTGATCAGGGAGAGCATTATACAAGCACGCCTCCCCACTTCATATCTGACTCTAGGAAAGTGCAACAACTTTTGCTGCGGGCAGAGACATCTTGGCGGGAGAGTAGTCTCTCACACAGGTACTCAGGCTGGCCAAGCACTATAGCTTTATGTATCAGGCTGCAGGTTAGGTATATACAAATATCTTTAATTGGCATAATGTGTGCAGCGTTTCTGTAGGGGGGTTATGTGATCTCTTCTCCTACAGTTATAAATAAATCTAATTGATACGTTTTGTAGTCATTGGATTTTATTTAGGTCACCTTTTGTAATGCTATTTCCGTAAGCGGGAGGACAATAATCAAATACTGACAATACCAAGGCCCTTACTAGTTTTATTTTGGCGCTCTCAGGTAAAATCCCTTTCAATCTATATAGACCTCGCAGCCGGCCAAGGGCTCGCCGACACATGAGGGTTTCATAGTCTGTCAGCGTCAGGTCTTCATCAAGAGTCACTCCAAGCATTTTTAATTTCTTGCATATCAGTGTTTCTAATGTTGTGTAATTAGCGTCTGGTGGCCTATTCATTACGCAGATTCCAAGTTTTATTCTTTAATTGTGAACTGTGACAGAGATGTACTCAAGCTGAGAATCAACGTTTTTTAGCCTGTTTTCAACATACTTCAGTGGCGGCGATAGCGGGCCTGAAGACGACAATGACGTGTTTTGCTGCTAGATAAATCTAGAATTTTGCCGCTATTGTGGAAAAAATGATTTCCCCGTCACCACAGGTCGCAGGAGATATTAGGAATTGGGCTGTCAACGCGGGAGACGATGATGTTGTTATCCAAAGATGTCATAGGTTTGGTTGCAATCACGGTAGACTATGATTATAAATGTTTCTTCCATTACTACGGGAAGTATTCACGATTTTCCACGATCATGGAGTACGATGATGACGCCTCGGTGCCTCGGGAGATGCCATGCCAAGCTAAAGTGTAAGTTTAGGCAGCAATACATGTGACAATGTTTTTAAAGATTATTGGGAGCGGGGCCTGGCGAACTAACTCGCGCGGGGGGGGGGGGCGAGCTCTTATCGCCGCCACTGACATACTGCAAAGACTTTTTTATGTACAAAGTCACTCTCCCTCCAGTTCTGCTTTTAGCGAGTGTTTTACTATTCCTATCACATCTAAGTAGAAAGTAGCCAGGAGTATTCATGTTCTCAGTTCTGACGTTTCTCTTGATAGGAACTTAACGGAAATTTACCGACCGTTGAGAATGAATAAGTAAATAAAAGGAACAGATGAGTTTTTTGAGGCTTGGCCCAAGAATTGACAAGGTGTGGCTGACACTCACAATAATTTTGTCTATAAGCTGATCTCGTGTTTAACTTTGTTTGACAGGAGCAGACGACGTTTGTGTGTGTCTGCATTGCTGAGTTCCTCTCCCTCTATGAGACGGAGAGACTTGTTCAGGAATTGACCAAGTGTGGCATTGACACTCACAATATTGTTGTCAATCAGCTGTTATTCCCCAGCAAGGACCAAGTGTGTAAGATGTGTGCTGCGAGATATAAAGTTCAGGGAAAATACTTGGACCAGGTAATTAATACCTACCTAATAATAATGTTTTGTATAGTTTCTATTCTGTATTTTTGTGTATTTAAAAAACTGGCTCAAAAATAATCTAGGGCTTGATGGATATTTTGAATTGCTATATGCAATTTTGCATTTTTAGGGTCAAAAATGGGAAAAATCAATTTTTACCCTATTAAACCACCAAAAACCCCACCCCCCTGTTCCGTTTTTGCTGGTTCGCGAACTTGTTCTACGTAGATTTACTTGTTTGTACCAAATTTCATCGAAATCAGATCATTTTTGCTTGAGTTATCACGCTAACGGACACATATTAAATATACATATATAATAATTTGAACAGAGGGTATTTTCGGGCTCTAGGGACCTCAAACGAAAAAGTAATGGGTCTAGGTCTTACCGTGAGACCTACAGTACTTAAAGCTTATTCCCCATATGGGAAATTTGCTAAAACAGGGATACAAGATCACATTGCCATCTACTTCCACTAATTTCTTTTCTAAAACCTATATTTAACGATGGATCAGATTGGTTCTGAATTACATCATCATGTATTCTAACCTAACATTACCTCTTCCTAACAGATCGCAGACTTATACGAAGATTTCCACGTGACCAAGCTGCCGTTGTTAGATCATGAAGTTCGAGGAGCGCCCCAAGTTTTGGAATTTTCCCAACATCTCGTTAAACCATTTGTTCCACCGCCACAATGATGATCAGTTTTGTATCTGTGATTTTTTTCAGACCTCTATTTTTCATTCACCATTTTACGGAGTACTTTTGTTTTGTTGAATGTGCTATATATTTTTTTATTTCCACTTTTTCCATTCAGTTGATCTTGCGTGGATTTTTTCTGTGAGCTAATGGTCTCAAAGTTTTGTTTGTATTGTATTATTTGGTTGTGAAACAAGCTTGTTAACTATTTGTAAATACATAACATTTATATTCATTTGTGTTGTATTACACCCTAAATGTGTCTATTTAGTGTTATTTCACTCCTTTTCCTAAAAATGAGAGATTAAGATTCTCGTGAATAGAAACGTTACCATAGTCTTTGAAATTATAATTATAACTGAACTTAGCTAAAAACACCATTTACTTAGTGGGATTGTTGGTTTGGAATGATATAAAATTTTCATCATCGAAATCCAATTCGTAACATTTTACAAATTCGTAAAATAAAATAAAATTAAAACTTTTAACATATCCTATGTCATGTTGGTTGTATTTAAGTGAATTGTGAATGAGCACACTTTAAACGGAGAAGAAAACAAACCTATTTATTTAAAAAAACAAGACAAGTTTCCCACTATTGCTAGGAATTCTTTTGATCAAGGTTTGACTGTATAATATGGCTTATGACAAAGGCATTTCCGTAACATTTGTTGTTAACTTTTTGTCCAACATTGAACATTTTACTACCAATACAGGAAACAATTTAGAGTTCTATCCTTTGGGATTTACAGCTTCAGGTGGGCTCCAACCATCGGGATTTGAATCAACGGACACAAATGTTCAGCAAATTATTACTTCAATCCTCTGTATCTAGTATGTCAAATGAGGATGTTCAGGAAAACATTTTGGATTCCACCGCCGAAAGTGAGCTCGGCCACGAGGTGATACACAGTGGGAGGTTCTTGTTGTAATTTAAGGGCTGAACTTCTAACCAAGTTTTCATTTTGGTGCACAAGTGAAAGCCACTTGGAGATAGGTAGGGTGAGTGAAAGAAAATCTCCCATTTTCATGATTGAAGGAGACAGTGAGTGCGTTTTGACTTGTGGCGTCAGGCCATGACATGCAAATCGACGTCAACTTAAGTTCAGCTATTTTGAAACTGAATGATCCATTTCTGAAAAAAAACTTGTATTTATTTGGTTGTTCCGTACACTTCAAATTCTTGACAATATATTTATATAAGGTTTTTTTAGATGTATGGCCAACAAAAACTGTGTAACAGACCGCATCTCACAACTCGTAGGATTTTCATCATCATCACACTTCTCAAACTTTTTTATTGCAGCACAATTATTACACTTCCACTGTTACAATTGGATAGTCATTGAGTAGGCAAACACATCTGTACTAGGAATTACCCGACCAGCCCACCTGTGTTGGAAACGTTCCTTACGTTCTGAACAGCCCTCAAAGTTAGGTTTAACTGATGACTTTTATGTAAAAAGTGTTGTTATTGTAATTAATGGGTGTTTAATTTTTATTAATTAGTGTTAGAAGTTGTTAGTTATATAGTAAATGGTATTATATACAGCAAGTGATATAGTTTGAATCAGCTAACAGCTGTTATATATTTTATTCTTTGTACTTTATATTTCATTGCTAAGATTCAATTATGATTTAAATGCTTATTGTTGTGAGTTCAATTGTAAATAAAGGTGTTGAAAGTAATAGCTCTCTGTTTTAACGTTTTTAAAGCTTTTACCAACAAAAATAGAATTTGAATTCCAACAGTTTTAAATAAAGGAGACACATTTTAGCAACAGTAAGGGCGGATTTCTGAATCAAGATTTATAAGTCAAGGACTAGGCTAGTCATGGACTAAAAATTCACTTTCTGAGTCAAGGATTAAGGACACACAGACTAATTTAACGCGGGGACTTAGTTTAGTCAGAGATTAAAAGAGCACATGATTTTCAAGGGAAATGTAGGGTAATTTGTGTCAACACTTGAGTTTTTTAAAAATCCATACCTATCCTTGAATTCATCCTCACTTAACACGTTCGCTGCTGAGCGCTAGATGCCGGGACGGCGCCAGTTGCTGAACTAACGCTCGGCCGCTGCGTGACATTGCCACCGATACACTGAATTACAGTAAAAACAACAGTAGTTATACTGGATGGCAATGTTCTGCAATAATACTGGCATTTGATATAGTACTAAGTGATTCTGATGGATAGCAGCACTACCCAGGTTACAGTCGGTAAAGTAGTGTCGCTATCTAGCAGGAAAGAGGTAAAACAAAGCCCTGTTCCAAACAACCCTGGTGGTGATTTGGGAAACTATATTTTTTATTGTCAGAAAAGTACGTCCCCACGAGCTGCAAAGAAATATAGAACGCTTGTGACGTGCTGGCTTATCCATAGCAACGTTAAACAACAATAAACGGTGACGTTCTGGAACGTTCTTAGCTCCTGGCGCCGTGGCCCGGCTGACGTTCCGGAACGTCCGTAGCAGCGAACGTGTTAAAGGTTGATTCACACACATCAGTTCAGTTAAAGTTCCGTTAGAGTCCAGTCACGGTTCAGTCTCAGTTGCATCCGCAATTTTTCAGTCAACCTGTCAGTCATTTGGTTTCAGTCACTCTTCCGTCACTTTATTTACAGTTTTGTTATAATCAAAAATGTTTAATTAAATAAAACACAATATTCTATCAAATTATCATCGTCTGTCTTGTTGGTTGTTACAAACATTACTTAAAATAAAAACTCGGATCATTTAAATAAAAAAAGTACTATTTTCTAACCTCAAACATGTCCGCCAGGCGTCCAAACAATCCAAAAATATCGGAGAAAAGAAATCTAAAATCGACTGACGGATGCCGGCAGAGGGACTGGCGGAACTGCAGCGGATGAGTGTAGATAGCGCAATGGAAAATCCGTTAAAGAATATTTTTGTTAACTGTGACGTGCCTGAAATGACTGGACTGCGACGTATCGTAACTGATGTGTGTGAATTGACCTTAAGTCATCAAAGGAATTATTTTCCCGCTCACGACGAATTCGCGGCCCTGGTAAAAATCATGATAATCAATGTAATCTATATGCACCTTCAACTTTAACTCACAAAAATGGTTTAAGGGAAAAGTGGACGACTAAAATTAATCCTACGCCTATACAGGATTAAAATCTAGCATGTTTTAATCCGTGGACTAAAGCATAATTTCTTTAGTTCAGACTTAAATACTAGTTCTTGATTATGATTAGTCACTGACTTATAAAGTACTCGAATAAAAAAGCTACTGACTATCTTCTATACAGGGTGGCTGAAAAGTAACTTGCACCCCCCCTTAACTTTTCAACCATTTGAGATATTTGAAATCGGTTTGCGGCAACCTTCTTAGATATGAGGGGCTACAATAATTATGATCAATTTTGAAAAATTTTCCCTTAGGGGTAGCGGGTAGCTCAAGATTTTCAAACAGCAAGTATAGTCAAGTTTGGTATCATTTTGTAGGTCTTGACAAAACATAACAATTAACATAAAGAAAATAGAAATCAGACCATTAATAACAAAATGGCAGCTAAAAATGATTGAGACAATAGTTATTTAAAGTAATTTTGAACTGCCATTTTGTTATTAATGGTCTGATTTCTATTTTCTTTATGTTAATTGTTATGTTTTGTCAAGACCTACAAAATGATACCAAACTCGACTATACTTGCTGTTTGAAAATTTTGAGGCTACCCCCTCCCTACCCCTCTATCCCTAAGGGCAAAATTTTCAAAACCTACCATAATTATTGTCGCTCTTCATATCCAAACGAGTTGCCGCAAACCGATTTCAAATAACTCGAATAGTTAAAAAGTTAAAGAGGGTGCAAGTTAATTTTTTTGCCACCCTCATGGTTATTTGGATTTGAAACGTTTTATGGCGCCATTTTGTTATTAGTGAGCTGATTTTGGTTTTCTTTATGTCAATGTTTATGTTTCGTCAAGACCTGTAAAATGATACCAAACTCGACTATACTTGTCATTTGAAAATGTTGAGCTAACCCCTACCACCACTACCCCTAAGGGCAAAATTTTTAAAATTGACCATAATTATTGTAGCCCTTCATATCTAAGAAGGTTGCCGCAAACCGATTTCAAATATCTCAAATGGTTGAAAAGTTAAGGGGGGGTGCATGTTACTTTTCAGCCACCCTGTATATTAATAGGCAAGCATGTTTCTTTAAAACCTTTATTCTCAGCTTGTGTGCATCGCAAGGAAAATCTACCCATACTGTTAGAAATATATTTTCCTGTAGAAGTGCAGAATCCCTTTATAAATTAAAATAGGCTCAAAAATAAGCACAAAAAATTACTTTTAAATTTTAAAATGGGCCTTATGGGTCCATCCTGGTGACAAAATAACAACGAAATATAAACAGAAAATCAAAACAAATGGAAGATAATATTCCAATGACTTACAGTAAGGGGTGAAAATAGAGAAGTCACATTACACAATTTTTGGTCGAGTTTTCGACCACTGGACGACCTCTAGTCTATATAAAGCTGGGTAAAAAAATGAACACTCTTCATAGTCATATTTATTGCTCTAAGCACTAAATAATTCTTGGATAAAATTCACTTTTTTACATAAACAGAAAAACATTAATTGTTAAATACAAGTTGTTTTTTTACTGTGGAACTCAGAACCACGAAGTATATTGTTTTTGCAAGTTTGACATGGAAACCCTAATATGTTTGATAATAATTTTTAAATTTAGTAAAATAACATGAAATGCATGGCAAGTACTTAAAAAAATAACTTACTTCACATTCTGGGCAGTAACATGCCTCTAGGGGTGCTACAATAGTTATCCAGGCTGAAGTAGCTAGGGGTAGGCTATAACCCTAACCCCACAAGTGAAAAAACATGCCTCTTCAAAAGGAAAAACTAGTAGAGTGTCTTTAATCTGCTCTACGGAGCATACTTTTCGCTTATATACACAGAGTGCCAGAATTCCTGATTCTACGCTTGAATATGGTGACTCATCGATGCAGACCATACCTGCAAAATGTGTTATAAAATACAGTTATCTTATGAGTAGTAGGTAAATGTATAAAACAGAAACAGCATTAGACCTTTTCAAATACAAAAGTATATACAGTACTCGATTTGTGACAGATTGGCGTTCCTCTCTTTTGGAAAGATAAAAATAATGGCTTAAATAGGTACATAATGGCTTAAATAGGCTTAAATAATCACATTAAATAGGTTACCCAAACATAATTTTTTTGCAAATTTCAGCTGATCTGGTTTGAGGATTCTCAGTCGGCCAGCTGAATGTCTGCCAAAAACATCATGAGGATAATCGATAATAATTTTTGTTGACTGAATCAATATTCGACTCAATCTTTTTCATGGTAGGGTTGAAATTTTTTTACAATGATGCAAGAGTTTCAATACACATGTAACAGTAATTAGAGGTTACTATACATGATTTCAAATCTTATTTGATGAGGAAGTTTTTGATAGTATTTGACTGGGACGGTGGCGTCGTCCTGTAATCCAGCTACTATGAGGTCACGAATTGTGGATATTTATATTTTGGCTTTGGTTGGTTATCAAGTCAATCTTTGACTATTGCTAAACAAAATAGCACAAATAGCCTGTATAATAGGAAAGCCCTTAGATTTACTGAATACATACTGTGCTTCCAATTTGCAGCTATTCAACCAAAAGTTTGGCTTTTCTACCTTAGAAAACGTTATCTAATTCAAGTGTTTGGTTTGGATGGTTTAAATCTATTACTATTACTGGTCCTTTTTGGCATTTGAACTATCTACAGGGTGTCCCGGAACTGTCTACCAATATTTTAGGGCATTGTTCCTGGGTAAGAATTAACAGTGTTGGGGAAGCTACTTTTAAAATGTAGCTAGCTACAACTACTGCTACATTTCCAAAAAAGTAGCTTAGCTACAGCTACAGCTACAGTTCCGAAAAAGTAGCTAGCTACAACTACAGCTACAATGAAATGTAGCTACAGCTACAATTTTAGCTACTTTCCCAAAGACGTTACTTTTTATTCCACGCACATTAGGTAAATGTAAAATTAATTGCAACAACATTTTTATTGAACAAACATTTAAACAAGAAATGTCAGTATTGTATCTAACATTACTTAGAAAACAAATTATTCCTAGATTTTATTAAATTTGTTGGCATTATAAACCTAACATTACAAAAACAGCATCAAATAGTTGGGTGTCCCGTCATATTTAGTACTTATTTTTTAATATTGCATTATTTTTAAGCATCTTATATGTAAATTTCATTAAGTTCAAAGGACATACAACCAAACTATATTTTAAAAGCTCATTTTATTTCTTTAATATAGATTCATTTATATATGTCTTATATCAACAATTAAGACCACTTAAACTGTAAAACGATGATTTAAAAATACTTTTTTGTGTTACCGAGCCTAGCCTATTGAAATTGGAGTGTTTTTTCTTTCTTTACTTTAAATGTTAAAAACGACATTGCTATAACTTTTAACCATATTGATAAGTTACTTGTTCTATGAATAACACTTTTCAATGTCAAGAAATCGTCCTTTATTGTCATTATGCATAGGGCAAATTGTGCTTCAACCTAGTTGGTACAAAAAACAGTATTCAGCAACTTATCCTGAAATCGGCTTTTAATTTAAACATGTTGAAATTTGTAAAGTAAAAATAACATGTAGGCCTACTTGGCAATGTAACAAGTCGGCTATAGTAGCTTTGTTCTTGCCAGGACTAAACAGATACATTCCTAATAATTAAACTTGGTATTCGTCATTAAACCATAGCATAGCCTAGGAATAGAGCTGTTAGCAGGAGCAAACTATGCTATTTTTTAAATGTAAGTTTCATGTTATATGGAGATTTTTTCGTTACTATTATCATGTAGTCTAGGCATATTTTAAATCTCATCAGGTAATTTCCTCTTTGTTAATTTAGTAAACCTTTGAAAAATCTTTGTAATCTAACCAAGGAAGGGCTTGTGACGATGAACCACAATCAACAGCTGAAGCAAAGGTTGATAGACCAGCTTTCTCATTAGTTTAAGGTTTAGTGTTGGTTTCCATTAAAACCCTAGTTAAAACACTATCAATATAACAAAGAAACTAAATTGATTACTAATTTCCCTGTCAATCACTTGCAAGCATTCAATAGCTTGTCTTGTCACTGGTACCGGTAACGTTTAAACGTCGTCTGCATCTAGCGATTTTATTTTATCTGACAGTAATCATAGAGTAGTAAATTAAGGAAATGAAAGCTAAAAATGTGGATAACACTTATTTAATGGCCTCCATGTCCACACAACTTTGTAATAGGGAATGAAACGGCTGCAACCAGCTGTATGAAGCCAAGAAAGTAGGCCTAATTGTTTTGGAAATCTCAGTTTGAAAGATGTTGTTTCACGTAAGGTTGAGGTTATGGTAAAAATCACTATCTCAAACAATGTTAATGTAGCGAGAAAAGTAGCTAAAATTCCGCTACAACTACTTTAAAAATGTAGCTAGCTACAGGTAAAGCTACAAAATCTTAAAAGTAGCGACGCTACAGCTAACGCTACTAAAAAAGTAGCGCGCTACTGTAGCGTCGCTACTTGTAGCGCGCTACTTCCCAACACTGGGTAAGAAATATACAATATTTTTAAATTGTCCGGAAGTCCTTAGTTACTCACACAGCCGCCATTTTGTTTTTTCACTTATTAATTTTTTTGGAAAAGTGGTTAAACATACGAAATTAAAACTTCGCACAAACATTTATGGCAACTAGACAAAGCTAAAAAAAATTATGACAGTTTTCCAAATTCATAAAACAAAATGGCGGTCATTTAAAATTTTGTTTCTTAAATAACTCAAAAACGGTTGATTTTAGAAAAAAATTACAAGAATTACTTTTTTAAGGCAATTCAATTACAAATCGGCACCTTATTTTTTAAGATTGGACGGATATGGCATGTTTAGTGATACGTGCACGCATGCCTCAGCATGCACTGCAACTACTAGGTTACGTATCTCAACATGTGTTGCAATTAGCGGTCACGTATCACTTCACTTTATGAATTTGGAAAATTATTTTTTGTGTAGCTTTGTCTAGTTCTCATAAATGTTTGTGCAACGTTTTAATTTTGTATGTTTAACCACTTTTGAAAAAAAAATGTAATAAGTAAAAAAAACAAAATTACAGCAGTGTGAGTAACTAAGGACTTCCGGACAATAAATATGATATTTAGATATGTTTCTTACCCAGGAACAATGCCCTAAAATATTAATAGAGATTTCCAGGACACCCTGTATGTTCCATTAGCCTTATCAAAAGGAAAGCAAATTGTTAGTGAAAAACAAAATATCCTAACCCTTATTATCCATACAAACTTAAAACAAGAGAATTATATTTTGTCAAAGAAATAACATTACATAATTCTAATCGATAATGCCATTTAGTGATAAAGAAGACCTTAATTATGAAAATTTACTTAAGTTCAATCGGGGATGTTCAGTTTTTGTTTGATGTCTTTAATTTTATTTTCAATTGTATTGTAGTACTTCATTTCCGTCAGTAACTTCTTAGCCAGTTCTACGTCGTCATTTTCAAAAGCCTTGGTTATATTGCTGAAACAGATATTGTTTGATAATTTTATGTGGGTAAGCATTTCTTATCAAACTTATAAAAGAAATGTAGTCTGCCTACTCACGTAATATTTTAAGGAAATACTCTTATGCTATGAGGTAATATGTGTCTAAATTATAATTCAATTTAAGATTGCTGTACCCTTTAAATGTTGACCAATTATTTTACCTGCAGTTTGTCGGCCTACATCTTTGCTCATATCAAAAAATGACCTTCATATTGAAAGGTAATGCCGCTTAAACTACTCTGACAATTCAAAACGAAACCATAGGCCTATGACTTGTCTCATTTACATTTCACGACTAATCTACAATAGAATTCAACAATCTTACCTGATAAGTAAATCTAGTTGTTCTTTATTGCTTTTGTAAATCTCATTTAGTTTCACTGGATCCTGTTGATTCTCTATTTCCTCATTCTTTTCCATAATTTCCATGAGAAACGATTTATCTATATCCGTTGTTCCTTCTTCAATTGACATGTTATTTAAACTTAGCATGTAGAGGCCACGCTCCAAAGGATTCAGGAGAGTTGAATATGCTTTGTTAACAATAGAGGAAAATTCTTCAGACAATTCTTGTTCCCTCTGAAAATAGTGACACTCTTGAGAGATAACAAAGAATTATACTTAGGTAGGTCAATATTGCAGTTGTAAGTAAATTATCAATCACTGAGTTGAGGACGCCACCTAGGTGCGTATTTTAACCTAAATATGAGTAAAGGAAGGGAGTTAGAATGGTATTAACTGATTGAACAGCCGTCCACGTATATTCACTCTTGATCATAGTTGATTTGTTACTGTTAAGCATGCACAACAATGTACTTTAACTATATTGGTTACCTATATCCATAAATGAATAAATAAATAAATAAATGGTGTGAGATGATCTGTGTAGCTTAGTTAACTGAAGATCAGCTATTTCATTATTTAAAGCCCAATGATCAGAAACATTTAGGGTAACATCATAAATTGCTGTTGATCTTAACTTAGTGGGGTCTGTCACATTAGAAGGAACTTAGTTTTAGTTGATTGGAGATATGTTTTGGGCCCAGGAGACTATTTTCTGGGGGAAAGTTTAGACAACATACAACAGTAGGGCCTACAGTAACTGTTAAACCACTCAAATTTAATAAACTGTCACAACAACTGTCATAACAAACACATATTAGGGCACATAACCTAATAGGTACAGGTTAACTTATATTAACTGATTTAGTAGGCTTCCCTGGCGGAACAGAAGTAGTGCTTGCAGAGCTGAACCTACATAGTAGGGTATTTTTAGTTGACACAGTCTATCCAGAAATTCTGATCAACAACGTTGCTGGAGGTATTTAACACGTTTGCTACTGCAATAGTACGAAATTTTTCATTCACATGAACCAGCGACGCACATATGCGACGGCCGGTTTCCACTCACAGACTGCCGTCGCATATTTGCGTCGGGGTTCTAACGTTATTAAAATGCTTATATCTTTGTAACGGTCTATTTGAGGGCACTGAATTCCCTGCAGTGGTCTACAGAGATGTCTGACGCACAACTGCGTCGCTTGGTCTATGGATATGATGATTGGTGACGTCATAATCATAGTTGAAAAAACTGGTCTTTACTTTTCTGCATCACTGTATGTATGTATGCTGCATTATCCTATGTAGCTTTTATATTTGTTCAGCTATAAACTGTTCTTGAATAATCTGTTTTGTTTACTTACTCTCACCTCAAAACACAAACAAAAATGAACTGTCGCATATATGCGACGTTTGGTATATTTCAAGAAAACTATGATAATTTTCACTATTGTCTTCGCTGTAGACCAGGCATCGCAAATATAAGACATTACAAAAGGTTATAAAAATTACAAAAAAACAAGAATGAATTATTTACAAACAATTGCAGCGTATTACAATGTAAATGATCAGTGTTTTACAGGTTTTCGCCCATGGTCTGTGTGTACTCTTAACCAAGTGACAGGCGGTCTATACGTAAGGTTCAAATGTATACCTCGGTCTGTGGCAATGACCGCGGCGTCGCATATATGCGATGCTCAGTAGTGAACGTTTTAAAATGTCTTTTCAAACACCAGAGTGATTGTAACTTGAACCTATCTAATGCATTATGAGATTAGAAATTGTCTTTGTAGGCCCTTTACCTTTATCTTTAACTTATACCTGCTGCGACGTCGTTGACCAGAATTTCTGGATAGACTGTGTCAAGGATAAACTAAAATAATATTTAATATTTACACTATTTACAATAGGCCTACTTGTTTGTTTTTAAAATTGTTTTATGAGTTAAACCATCTATGCTCCAAGGACTATTAATGTATTGATCTTAGTAGGTTAACTTATAGGCATATTGTTAATTTGGATAAGTTAGTTTGGTTAAGATTAGTTTTGTTGCTTTGCCTAGGCCTAGATAAGTTATAGGCATAGGCTATCACTAAATAACCATGAATGTTTAATAACTTACCGAACCTCTCTCTACTAATGCTGCAATTTATGATAGGCTTAATAAGTAAGCATATGAAAAATCCTTATCCTAGCCATCAATTTCAAAACAATACCGAAATGACTTGGCCTAACTTAAAACAAATTTTAAGAAGAAATATTAACTTAACTTAAGTTACTATTGATATTTTCTCACAATTAGGCCTAACTTAAAAGTTATTTAACGTGTAACCATTAAAAATATTAATAAATTACCTTCGGCTTGGCACTAAACTTGTCAGGATGTAACAGAGATTGTAGGTCACGAAACTTTTTCTTTAACTCCAATTGGTCTAAGCTGTACGATTTCTTGACACCTAATATATCAAAAAGATTTGCTTGACGATCGACTGGTTGAAGAGAATTGCAAGAGACACAAAATAGTTTATTTGAGCTATCTGTTAAAATGGCTTGACAGTTCCAGCAAGTAGGGTTGTTTGACATATATTGTAAATGCCTATTAGAAACATTAGGACTGTAAATATGCTTTTCTGTATACAAGTTACATGTACAATTTACATCCTTGTAAGTGATAAGTTTATTTAGAACCTGATCTTTCTTTAAAATGGGCCTAGACCAACTGAAGTAACTATTGGTAATAATGGGACGTTCTCTTTCTCCTTTTCCACAAAGAAATATGTGTTCAAACTGAGATGATATTCGATGACACTGTCTCCACTTGAACATTGTACCTTTCGTGAATTTCTTTTTATGACCCTTAATTGAAATCAATATAAATCAATAAACAATAACATTCTATAGTTTTGAAACTGGACACTAGCTATAAAGTATAAACACTAACTTGAATTGAAGGTTATGTTATGAAAACAAAGATTGTTTGACATTGAAATTTTCAAAAAGTGACTCCATTTTTCCTCTGCCAGTATTGGATAGATTAAATTGGCATGTCATGAAGCTGTACCGTACACTATAACTCATAAATGGATAGTAGCACGGCCGCCTTTAACTCAGGCCGTGGCCTTCGAACTGGCAACGTCGCAAGTGGTGTTGTAACAGCTGTTTTTGTTTAGAAGCAGCTAATGGTATTTGTGTATTTACGAAAGATTGTTTACTGGACTATGACAAAATTTACTCCCCTTGAAAATGTACAGATATAGATTTTTAATTCATATTGTTTCGGTTTTATTTTAATAAATTTATGTTCATAAATTTAAATTTAAATCAATAATGTGCGAATTAGTGAGCTGATGTCACCTGTCTGCCATGTTATCTTATGGGACGTCTATCACTGAACAACACCACTTGCAACGTTGCCAATTCTACCAGGCCGCGGCCTGTAGTTAAAGGCGGCCGTGATAGTAGACTAACATAGTGTACTCTGGATTTTATGCAAGGCTAGTGGGTATCGTCATTAATACACATCAAGTCCGTCCATAACACAACATGCGAACACGTTATGGGCAAGGGTCATAATGCAGCACTCACTTACTTGATATCGATTCAATTATGAATAATTGGGGACGCCACCTAGGTGAGTAAGTATTTCAACCCAAATATGAATGGTGTAAGATGATCTGTGAAGCTTTTTTACTGACTAAGATAAGCTGTTTCATTAGCCAGGATACTTGACGTCTTTATCTTTGACCGGCACGACAATATCTGGATAGCTTGCGTCATAAATATTTAAATCACTAAAAACTAATATTTACAAGACAATAACAAAATAATTTATGGGAAAGCGGTTTGGAATAATGTGTTTGTCATTCCCGTGGCAGGGTAGAATAAGATTCAAGTACAACCTCCTTATCTTTAGAAGTTTATGAAGGGTCCTTTTGAAGTTCTTTAGTTTAAAATGGGTTCGGTTAATGCAACACCGGGGCGTGTCTTACTAGGTCCACTGCTTTGCGCGTCCCACAAGTATGCTAGTCTCTTCCCTTATGCCAAAGACAGCTGAGGCTTTCCCTGAGTATAAATAAGGATGGTAAATACATACTGTCTTAAAACTGTGAGTAACTGTAGTTCTACAAAAATCAATGGTACTAATCATAGTACGCAGCGAAATGTAATAAAATTAAATGCCATTTTTAGTAGTAGGACTTAATGCGTAGGTGCGGAGTGTTCCCACAGTGCCGAGCCATACATTATATGACTGTGTAAGAGGGCATGAAATACATTCTTAAGATAAGGCAGTGTTTGTCTTTATATAAGGTTTCTCATAAGGTAGGTAATGCAAGAAATTACAACACATAGCTTTGATTTGGGAATGCCAGTTGCATTTTGGTGCCTAGTCAAAAGCCAAAGCAATATCACTGGGTTTATCCTCCTTCATGGTTTTAGAGTGCAAATCAGAGATTGAGTATTTCCTGTTCCTCGGGGTTTGCATTAATGGTCCTTAACCTGGGATAGCAGTGGTTAGGCCTTAAGTTGCAGCTGTGTGACACGGATGCTCTCGTCCTCTAAAAATCAGGGACATCATCCCCGAACAAGAGTGTTCGGCCAATGAGCCATAAATCGTTTATCATGATAATGAAAAGTGTCTAGACCCTCAGGGCACGCAATGCTTTACGTCACTACAGTAATACCAGAATACGCACCATACAAAAGCTGCACTCTGTCCTACAGGGTTTGTCAGCGTTTCCAAAATTAACCCTCCCCCTTTTTTAATTCTGTGAAATACTCCTAACTTCCTTTGTACTCACCTTTGACCAGCTTGAGTGTGTGCTCAAATTAATATCTTCCAAAGCTATTAAATAGATAAAGAATACAAGTGAATTTTCAGCTTAGAAGAATTTCTCACCTACATTTTCTTTAGTGATACTTCTTTGTCTCTTTATACTATGCGTGTTTAGTCTCTATACTGCCGTTGATCCAGGTTGTGCTGTTCTACACAATTTAACAACCAATTCGATTTCAAAATGCAAGTATAAGCATTTACAACCACTAACTATGAAGTGATTGTTAAATAGTATTATGAAACCTTTAAATTTATAAATCATCCCCTGATGGACTCAACTATTCACTTTTTTTTGCGAATTTCCCTATAGGGAAGTAGCTATTACCGTAGGTGGCACGGTAAGACCTAGACCCGGGACCGATTTACTTTTTCATTTTGATGTCCCCAGAGGCCAAAAACACCATTCGTTTAAATTTTTATATATTTATATATATATATATAGACTTATATATATATAGACTTATATATATATATATATATATATATATATATATATATACGTCCGTGAACGCGATAACTTGAGTAATTTTTGTCCGATATTTGGTTTAAAGGTGTAAAGCGGGATAAACTTGAATGAGTTCGCGAACCAGCACGATCTTGGTTTTTCTCACTTTTGACCCTCAAAACACAAAATTTCCCGATTTCTCTTTAGACTTTTTTAAAGAGCTTAAAAAAACAAATAATTTAGTATATAAAAGTATTTTTGTTCAACTATTAGTAACGGAAAAATTGTAAATTTAAAATTCCCATGTTATTCTTATGGAGAATATTGTCAAATGTTGTAGTTTGCTTGTTTATGGATATATTTTGATCAAACTTGGCAAATTTATTTATTTTGTACTAAGCTATCAATATTTTACTCAAAAACACACTTTATTAGTTTCCTTGTAGCAGCAAACCTAGGTACTCGTTAAACCTAATGTTATTAAAATATATTTAACTGAAAATCAATTCAGACAAATGGAAATTCGCTTAGTCGGCAGGTTTGCTGCGGCGGGGGTATTAATACGAACTAATTCGTCGGGAGCCCCTAGTATCGCACCCATTAATCTCTCATTTATTATACTATGCATTTTAAATAGAAACGATGAAATCACACTACTATCCCTAAATATTATTTCAAATGGTTATAGCTTATGATAAAAACAAATAAATTATGTAGCAAAACATCTTGCACACAGCATTGAATATGGTAAAAACAGGCGGTCAACCATGTGTTGTCTTATACTGATTGCCATGACAAATAATTATCTAGTAAAATGGATTATTTTTTCAATTTACTATTCTTGTGGACAATCTAAAATAGTAGACGATGAAGACAACGATAACGACGTCACAGAAATGTTGCCTTTAGAAGGTGACTTTGGTGACGTAAATATTATTGAGGAAACCGAAAACAACACTACACCTTTTGTAGATCGCAGTGCGGAGGAATGGGTCCGAGATGCAGTCTTGGACGTTGCATACTATCTTAGATCTCACAAGTTCAACGACTTTGACCGTAGATACTACAAAGACCAGATCGACGATGTAAACTCCCAATACAAAGCATTCCCTTCTCCTCCTCTTAGATATTTGCACTGGGAGGTCTACAGATATTGTGACATAGGCTTCTACGATTGTCTATCCTATTTACAAGATGTGGCATTGAAAGCAGAGTTGGTTAGAACCCTGGACACAAACGTGGTGATGAATCAGAGGCACTGGGAGTATCCTCGAAATGCCAAGTCGATCGACAAAGTAGACCAGGAGTGCAGAAGACTGAAAGAGTTGGATTGGAGAAATGCAGACCCTTTCAAAGGCCCTTTGGAGCGTTTTCAGTGGCGTGTTTCGGCAAGCTACTACATGTGCTACTTCACCATGATGGAATACTCTCCTCTCATTATGTTCGGTGAGCGCTGTGACAACTACGCGAATTGCCTGGAAGGTAAATCCTCTACGAACAAAGACCCTCGGGCTGATGATTCTAAACAGTTTCAATGTGCGACGTACAGTTTCTGCCCTGACGTGTGTTGTCCATCAAAAAGAATTAATTCTTTCGACGAGTGTTTGGACAATCAAGAGAACCCTTGCTACTGGCAAAAAGATCGCGATAAAAGAGAATGCTCTTTCAGTAGGGAACGGAACCGGGGGTTTTCCGCGATTGCTCTTAACGAATGGAATGTGACTTGCCAGTGTGATAACAGATTCGAGTGGGACTCTGTATTCGGAATGTGTGTCGATGTCGATGAGTGTTCTATTGGAAGTTACACTTGCCGAGGAGACGAAACATGTATCAACTTGCAGGGACACTACGCCTGTGTTTGTGCCTGGGGTTACATCAACATTTCTGGAATCTGCGCCCCAAACCTGGTGCTCACAAACGCCCTGGCTAATCTTCACTCTATTTATCACCCTCCGCCGACCACGCCTCCCCGTCCTTTTTCGATCCTTAGGTATCTTTTTGGTTTTCAACTGTTCTCTCCTGACGAAACAGAGACTGGGGATTTGCCCCTGTTGAGAAACGTTAGTGATAATCAGGTTGTTCTACCAGTTGACTATTAGATTTACCATTAATTTCAAGTTTAAACATTGAATTGGATGTTTTTACAGTTCAAACCATTATGTTTTACAATAGCATGATGGAAGTTATAATAGTTGTCGTGAGATATTATCTTATTTTATTGTGTTTACTAAGGATATTTGTATTATTTGACTTATTGTTAGATAAAGAAAACAAATGATATTTTTTTGGCAATTTTTTGCATCTCCGTCATATCTAGGCTGAGTAGCAATTATTAAAAGGCCACCGTTTAATCCAGTATTTTCTTTCAGTATTTTTAATGATTCGAAATTGGGCTTAGCTGCTCTTAAAAATTAAATTGGACTATTGATAAATAGTCTGGTTGAAATAAACTGCTGATCTTAGTCAGTAACATAGCTACATAGCTACACTAGCCGTCCCACTCCTTTCTAGATCCATCCTTGATTCATATTTGGGTTTAAATACAAAGGCCTGCAATTGGTTCGCTCTCCAAAGTGGTAAGAATAATAACATTTGATCAATTTAATTCATAGTCATGTAAATGGTAAATAGTAAGGTTTGGTTTTTATCAATAATAGTTCCTATATACCTCGGTATTCGAATAATTCACTTTTGAAAAGTAAATAAACAGTTTAACTTTTAAATCATAAACGAACGAATCACAGGCGCCAATCACAGACTGTTTGCACCCTATACAATACACCATGTGTAGTCCTAATTAAAGGTTACCTAGTCTAGGGGAAGGGGAAGAGGGGTATTTACCTCACGACAATTCATTACCTAACTGAATTACAGCGGAACACGAGAACGGTCTGGATTAAGCGATTAGTTTAGTGACTAAACCTAATTTGCTGGATTAGTATGTAAACAGGTAGGGGTTTATTTAGCGCTGCTCGCGCAGCCTGAAATGATTTCAATTTGTATTACACTCTCTTTCATTAATATAAAATTAACATTGTGTTTGTTCGAAAATGCAATTTGCATTATCAGCGTGTTTATCTAAATCCAGAGTTTAACGTTCAGTTTTGTTTTGTTTGTCCATAAAGAATATCACTCGTACATACATATATATGAGCAACGATCACAATATTTTTGAATATACCTTTCTATTAATTCATTACTATATGATGATCCTTATCAATACAGTTTTTAGGTAGTACTGACCCCGAGGGAGTGTTAGATTAGAGCGATAACGCTTAGACTGTGTAACACTCTTAGACATACGGTACTTAGATTGTATGACACTCTTATACATACTTAGATTGTATAACACTCTTAGACATACTTAGACTGTAGATTAGCGTTATACATACTTAGACTGTAGATTAGCGTTAGATGACAGTAGCTATTGTATGCTGGCGTAGGCTACTCATAATAAACCTCACATATTAAATATAAACTAGAGAACCCGTGCGGCTCAATGAGCCGCATGGTATGAAACATAACGCCGAGGAAAACCTTATGCTTAAATTCGAGTAATTTTAGTTACATCTTAGAGTTGTTTTAAAACTTGTTAGAAACTAATTTAAAATATCTCCATTGGCGTCGTCAAGGTTCACCTACATACTTATCTTTAACTGATCTTGAACTTAGTTTTAACTGATAACTTCTAATGAATGCTAAACGATCTGCCTCAATTCAAGTTAACATGTTGCAACAAAGTTTTCCAGCATTGAGAATTGAAGAACCCTGTTACCATACCTGATAACCTGTCTTGAGTAATTTAAGTTTATTTCTTTGATATGAGACATCCCCCTGATCAAACGAATTTTCTCCGTGGAGTAACCTGAAAAGTGGGGTGATGTCAACTATTTCATGTGCTCCATTTTTTACCCTCAAACTCTGGGTTAACAACTGGACAGCCATAATCTGCTTTGAATAGGAAACACCATCGAATTTTGAGCAGCAACACCATCGAAAGTTGGTTAACGTAATTTAACGTGTTGTCTGTCAGTCACAGTATATGCCCCGCATCAGAACGTTCTCACGTTGTTCAGTGGAGTTTTCTTAATACCTGTCCAAAAGTTTTGAGTATGTATAAATTTGTCGAAATAGGTTGTATAACTCTTGTAGCTATAATATTTGGATAGCAATTTATTAGATAGATAGATAGATAGATAGATATTAGAAAGTATAACTGCACTGACATATGTCAGTGCACATATGTTATTTCACTTTCGGCTATTTTGTATATACAAAATAGCCGAAAGTGAAATAACATTTTCGGATATTTATTTAAATAAATGCACATTGTGAATACCATGGTTCTTAAGTAAATCCGACATCAAGCAACACCTCTAGCAATTTATTTCTTGAGCGTCAAAGTATAATTTGCTTCTAAAATTAACAATACTTGACTAATTACTCCATTGTAATTATTCGATTGCCAAGGGAAGATTGTTTAATTAAGATGATTGCCGCTCTGAGCGCTCTGTTCTTGAATCACGGCTGATAGAGGCAATTAATTAAACTTGGTGAAGATTTACAACTGAAGTGGAGTTGTTGAATTGGAAAGGTTTAATTATTCATACAGACTAATTACGGAGTTTTTCGTTAATGGAAGTTGAATTGTTACTCGTATGTTTTAACTTGTCTTAAGTACTCACTGCAAGGAGACTACTCATCCCACGGGTAGGTTGGGTACCGTAGCCGAGTTTAAATAAAAGTTCTTGTCTAGTAATCACAAGGTCGCCGCTCCAGTCTAGAGAAAAAAAACAATTTAATTAATTCTAAAAAATAAATATTAGTGTCACAGTAATCATTAATACAAAATTAACAACGTCACATTGATGAACAGAAATTATAGTGAGATATGTAATCAATACAAATATCAGAAAATGAGTATTTCCAATATAAAGAAACCATGAGCTACTGGATAGTCAAAGAAAGAAATCTAACATTGAAAACCATAAAAAAAAAAACAGTATTGTGCAACAGTTGAACTAATGTTGTATTGTACTTACAGTAGTAGAATATTTAGTATAAATTCATTGTTGGAACATATACGTTTTCTAATATTGATTGAGACTATAAAAATTATATTATCTTTACCAACTTTAATTTCGGTGATTTTAAATCCGATTTCAACTTTTATAAGTTATTTTTGTCACTTATTAACAAACCAGCAAAGAAGATCCATGACAACTTACAGGAACAGACAGTTGGCGGAGTTGGGTCGTTACAGAGATGTTTACTGACGAAATTCATTACGTAACTAAATTTGGACTGAACACGAGAACGTTGCGAATTAAACAATTAGTTTAACAGCGAAACTTGATTTTCAGAATTACAAGGTAAATATAACGACTTTCCTGGCTTCTTATTAGGTTCTGTATAGTTTTCTTTACTTGAGTTTTGCAAGAAATATTTTAAGTCGAAAGTCCTTTGATATAGTTTGCTTGTACACGTTTAAAATAGCTCGTTAACATTAACAATTTTTTAAATATTTTTAAACCACAATGCATTAATCGTCAGTAACGTAATTAAATTAGACGACGATGGAATTGTTTTAATGTCAACTCTGGATATTTTGAGCTGCAAGTAAATTTTTTACCCCGTAGTACAATCTGATTGGCTATTTTTTAAGTATATATAACTTAGGGCTTTAATCAATAGATTTTTGACCAAGTTAAGTTGAAAGAAAAACATATTGCAAACTGTAACGTGTTCGCGTCACACTACATGTACTTTCATACTACTATTAATTATTGGATAGTCAAATATACAACCAAAAACAAAAAGATTGGTTTTTGATATAAGCAAGCAAATATCCAATTCGCAGTGTTCTTTTTTTAAATATATTTGCTGGAAAACCCCAAGATCGATTTTTAGTTCCCAAAATTAGGAGGTAAGGTCTACTATAGTAATAAAAATCTATCTGAAACCTTCCCGTGGCTATATTTTCTCATCCGCTATTTAACCATACATTTGCATGGATTAACGAACCCTCTTAAAGATTTATCATTTTTATAGATCAGCAGGAGGCAATCATCAGTTATGGTTCCAAATAAACAAAGGTTCTATGTAGAAAGCGTTTTGAGGGCTACTGTATTTTGTTTAACGTTATTCAACGACTATAATAATAATTTAACTAAATACAAGGTGTCCGCAGAAAGAGGAAAAGAAATAACGAATTACTGTGATATAACCATGTATTTTTCCATGCCATGTGCTCGCCAACCATATGCTCCCCAACCATGTGCTCACCAACCATGTGCTCACCAAACATGTGCTCCCCAACCATGTGCTCCCCAACCATGCGCTCCCCAAACATGTGCTCAACAACCATTTGCTCATCAACCATGTGCTCACCAACCGTATACTCACTAACCATATGCTCATCAACCATTAGCTCACCAAACATGTGCTCACCAACCGTATGCTCACTAACCATATGCTCATCAACCATGTGCTCACCAACCGTGTACTCACTAACCATATGCTCATCAACCATAAGCTCACACAACATGTGCTCACCAACCGTATGCTCACTAACCATGCTCACCAACCATGTGCTTACCAACCATGCTCACCAACTATGTGCTCACCAACTAAGTGCTCACCAAACAGTGAGTGAAAACCTAACATTTACCTACACTGGTCTGTAGGCATTGTGTGTGGAAAAAGTATGACCTATACGGACAATATTGATTGTATTATATTACTGACCGTTTGTAGTGAAAAAGAAATTAAAACTCTTGATGTTTAATGCTGGATACTTGTAGCACGGACGCAAAGAGCATATCTGCAAACTATTGTTGGTATAAAGTCAAAGAATACAGGTACATATAGTAAAATCTAACCTAAAATAATGGAGAAACATAAAGCTTGCTCAGACATAACCAACATGAAAGATTTTGCACTACTCGAAGCCAATATTAATACTGTATTGGCAGCCAAATTGGAGGGAGAAATCTGATGGGATTCTACAGTCAATCAAGAAACGTCAATTATTGGTTGTTTGATTTGTTTATCTCACAGCATGAATATTTACCAGTACAACTGTCTTTGGTTGAATGTTTGTTGAACGTCATGGTGTTTAATCTTGACAATGTTTATTATTCTCTATCTATTTCTCTTTTGGATGTTCTATCAAAATAAAAAGCAATTTAAAATATACTTTTTAAGACCTGGAACGTTACACAACCTCACTGTAGCTGACGACCATAAATTCTAAACGAATCTTGAGGAGGAAAAAGTCAACAATGAATACAGAAATGTGTCGGCGTTTAACGATTGTAAGTAAAACGCCGACACATTTCTGTTTACATTACATTTCAGTTTCAATTTATTGAACTACACAACTCCCTCTATTTAATATTGCACAACATTTACAACTTCACTGTAACCCTAAATATGCAACGAAGCTGTTAGTGTTTTGTTTGAATATAATTTACCCTCAAGTAGAGCTATATCAGGGGTGCTGTCCACTTATTCTTCGTCTCAGACCCATAACTAAACTCCACAGTTGACCTCAACTAGCCTCATGCAAGACTAGGGTGGACCTCGGCCAAGGGAGGGATGACAAACTGCACTACCAATGTCTTGACAGTTTTGGGGTCGATGGAACTGCAGATGAAGTCTTCATGTTTTATGCAGTTGTTTATGTAACATGAAATGTGTAAAATAAAATAAAAGAAACACAAATTAGAATATAATTATCGACGTTGAATTTTGCAGTAGACACATTACCTATAGTAGACAAGCTGCAGCCGGTCAACGTTGAGTCTGTTACCATTGCAATTATAGTATTTTATCTGTTATTTTTCCTACAATGATAGAGTTGTTTATTGTAATAAAAATACAGGATGCTACAGAGTTGGCGTGTCGAAGATGTGTCAGTCGTCTAAAATCGGCGTGTGTACAGCACATTTGGACGATGGCACTGGGACGGGTGGCGTCGTCCTGTAATCCAGCTACTAGGAGGTCACGAATTGTGGATATTTATAGGCATACACTGTGGATGCGATACTCCCTCGTGTGGATTAACGTCCGCACGAGTGAGTACTACGACTATCCGCAGTACTATCCTGATAATTAGACCAATTCGTATATACCAAGGAAAAATGTGGTTCGGATCCCACTATAAACTGTAGGTCCCTTAGTTGCCATTAGCTGTTTGGGCTATTTAATTAACAGCTGTGTCTAAGCAATGTCGGCCTTAGTCACTAACAAGACTACAAGATCGCGCCACTCATTCTACACTCATCTCCATTCATACTTGGCTTAAAATACCTACTATGTATGGTCGCCATTTCAATGAAAAGTATTAAAAAGATGATTCAAATAGTTCAAAATACTGTAATTCTAATTCTAATTAGTTACAGTTAGTATCTTAGTTATTCTTTATTCCAATGCTACTACGACTATTAACACAAATGACTTGGTTCTATACTTCACGAGTAACCTACAGTAAAAGGTTTAATTGTTGATTATGAATTAAACTGTTTACATTAATCAAGGGCTATTTGAAGGGGTTTAGATTTTCCCCTAAGAAAACTACATGTGTGCATTGCCGCATTGGTGAAGTAAAAGCTTAACTCTGAAAACTGGATTCCTCATGAAAACCAAACGTAAAGAGGCCATACAACTTGGTACACAATAAAACCAACACAGCTTAAACATGTTTCGAAGAAATCCGCGTACTTTTCTACGTACTGCGTGTAAAGTTTTAGACCAAGCGTTTCTGTGGTCAGGACCATTAATGAAGATCCCAATAATAAAATGTAGCTGTGTCCAGTTTTGAATAACCAAAAAGAACTTGACTTGTTTCAGGATCCTCACAAAAGGTACTTTGGAGATACCAAATAATTGGAATAATGTTAATCTCTGTTTCTAATTGTATCGGAGAAGAGGTCAAGCATCTACCTTCGACCCAGAAACGAACACACAATACAACAATCGCAGTGATTCAACCTTAACAAACTAATTTTTTAATCCTCGTATCTAACCAAATCGTAACACAATTTGCACCAGCTCCACTCCACGCTGTCTCAATCAGCTGACACGTCACCTCTGGCGCCAAAACTTATGCAGATTCCCGCCGAAAGTAGATGAGGCGGCGCAGAACCCGCACAATTAAAACCCCAGATAATCGCATCACACGGTTAGTTAAACGACGACGTTTGTTTATCGTTCGCCGCTTAACTAATGCTGTTATTCGATCACTGGAGATTTCGCTTCGCCGCGTCGCGCCTAACCTGATTATAACCCCAGTTTTTTATCGCGTAGTTTTTTTCTCCGGCGGTTTTCCGAGTGGGGTTGTTAATGATTATTTACTTGACTCGAATTATTTCGAATGTAAATGTTCGTAGTTTTTATGACACGAAGTTGTGTTTGCGAGTTAAGATGTAAAACATTTATAAAAGAAATGTTTGTGATGGTTTGTTCATATGTTTAACCATGGCAAAGTGTAGTATTGGAGTATGTAAAATCACCTACGGGTCTTTCTCTAGTGTGACTCGCGTTTTATTTTTTCCCAAAGCAAGAAGTTATTACAAATACGTATTTTCCCGCCATACCATTCAGAGCTGTCCTAAAATGTAAAAAAATATTATGCTTATAGTTTCTAGAAGCTGTATTGAATGATTAAAAATTGTAATATCTAGGTGCTTTATAAGGTCAATTTCTATTTTCTCTGAATTATTAAACTTAATATAACTAAATATTCTATTATATTTTGTGAATTATGGTGTAAGAGCTTATAGGTCGTTGAATAGTTACTTGTGTTGTTAGAGAAATATTTACGCACGAGCCGAAGGCGAGTGTGGAAAGTTTATCGAGTGCAGCAAAGGCAGTTTGCACTAGTGTTACACATTATATTTTTCCTACAGTTACTATAAATCATATAAATAACTGGCTTTCAGACACTGTACAACACGTTTTTAGGTTAGGTTAAATCCAAACATTGAACGAAATGGGAAAGGCTGTACCAGCTGATCGAAGTCGTAATATCCTTTAAAAAAGTGTTGCTAACTTATTTTTAAGCGGACTCAGATTACGTGCATATAAAAGCACGCTGTTTAGTTTGACTGGAATACTGGTGTGTAAAAACTGTGCGCCAAAGTGAGGCAAGGCTCTGTACTATAATCTGTGCAAGGAAGCCCACTTTGTCGGGTGACTGTAGGATTTTTTTTTTATCCTGTCACATTCATTGAAACGATCCGTGTGGTTGCAAATACTACAGCTGTTTCTTTATTTCCCGTGTCCAGATAGGTGCAACTAATGATTTAAATTTCATGGAAACTGGTACCTTGATATTTTGGACCTGATAACTCGTGGTTTAAAATTAGCTGTAGCATAACGAGTACACAAACCGGACAAAAATGAAAATAATACAATACTGGAAAACAACTCAGTTTTATTGGCTTCTATTACATTTGTTTTTATTAAAATCGATTCAATATCAATTATCCCTAAATCATAAAATTCATCGCAAGCAACACCACTGAACAGTTTTGTTTAGTTCAAATATTGTATCAGTTTTGATTTGATTGGCTCAATAAAATCATGAACATTCTATGCCTACTATTTCGTCAACAACACACCTAACAGATTTCTAATTTAATTTAATAACATCTTTAGCTATATTTGCTATTAATTCACTATGTACTATCAAATCGACTCTATGAATCATTAACATCATCTACAATTGGGCTAGTAGCACATCAACACATATTGATTAACTAACAACACATTGATTAGCTTTATATTCACAAACACTCTACGCAAACCACTGACCTATCAACACGTCTAAAACCTTTTGAATGTTTTTACATCAATTCAACTCAACGATTCGATTTGTTTCGGTTAGGTTTCGATTCGTTAAATCACACACACTTAACCTAGAGAGCTAGAGAGCTGGTACTGTAGTCGAACAGATTTGTAACTAGTCCCATTCAGGGCCCCTTGCCCGGCGAGGGGTCAGTAGGGGTTGTGGGCCAAATGAAGACGTATGGGGGTCTGTGGCCTCTTACTCATAGACAATCTAGTTACTGGACACTTGACTTGTAATGCCCGACCTTAGAGGCCAAACGTTTTGTAGCACATCGCTAAATTCTCGTTTGGATATACTGTACTTAAATGGTTTGAACCACAAATATGTCATTATTCTTCCTTTTAAGACTAAGCAAAAAAGTGCCATTGGAAGTAGACTTCTTGATGTTTTATTTATTTTATTTTACGTTGTAGTTTAATTTGAAACAATAGCTTATTTCCATACTTTTAACAGAAACGAAAACAAGGGTGGCCCCAAAAAAGGTACTCATCAAAACTGGACTGCTTATAATTTAACTTCTGTTTTAATGGACATCACTCCACACCAATGTTCAGGATTGGTTGAAAACATGCAAAGATGAATGGAATATGTAAAAAACAATGGTGGAATCTTAGTTTTGTTTTAAGATAGTGTAATACACAACTAATAAATAATAATTAATTGTCATTAAATGATGAGTACATTTTTGGTCACCCTGTAGTATATTGTGTTGTAATTAATACGATCGTAACTATTATCTTATGACTCATCGTTAAGGAATATCTGTATACAGACAACTCATCACCTATAGAGACGTATCCTTATTACTTTATAAGTAAGCATACTACTTTAGGTGGGTTTCGAGCCACCACTTTAGTAAATTAAGACATTTGATTGACGTGATTTGAACCCGGCCCTTCAAGATAGAAGCCTTGCATTCTAACCATGTGTGGCTCTTGAGGAGCCCCGTAAACGCCTGGAAACATTCTCGTATAGAATGGCCCTAAATGACAGTAAAAATGGAGCAATCTCAACTGAAAATGTCGCTGTTGTGTTGTTACCAAGATTTACCGCCACATTAGTGAGTTTTCGCGCCTTTATCGCCGCCCCGCGCCTCCTAGATATTACTTTGCATAATCGTCGTCTGCTGCGCCCTGAACAGTGTTTAGTCGTGATCACCATTTGTCATGGCCGCCGTTGTTTATTCGACTGTCAACTTTATTCATAATTTATTTTTTACAGCGTAAATTTTACCATCGGTGGGTCCTAAAACCGCCCATAATATATCTGACATTTAAAGGCGTTAAGTGTTTATAAATTTATGGTAATGGCATTTGTATACGTTTTAAGTCATATTGAGAAAGACTAGGTATTGTACCCTTTGAATTCACTATCAAAACTTTGCATTAGTATGTACATAAAACGATGCGTTGAGTACGAGTATTACTGGCTTCGAGGTAGCTCAGTAAAATCAAAGTTTATCCCTTACTATTTTGTGCAATTAAATTTAAAATGAATTCAATATTGAAATTACTGTATTGTACTGAAGTCGAACCGGCAAATGAAAACAGGTGGCGCTGTTTGAGTAATTTATATTAGTTAATGCATCAATCCATAAGTATGGAGATACATATTTTCTCAATGTTCAAACACACCTGAAATATCTCTCCTCAAAAACTCATGGCACCATTTTCATTACTTTCAGTACTGCATGGTACTGCTGACAAAGAATTTATGTATTTAAATAAATCATTGTTGCAGATTTGCGAGTCAAACAATGAATTTTAGTACATTAATTAACTTATATTCTGTCCGATGAATGAGTCGGTTTATAGGGAAACGCTATTGAACTTGGTGCCAGGTCTAACCTAGAAACGGCCCAAACCTTGAAATACAAAACTAATAAAACTTCCCAAACTGTAAAATACTCAAGTAAGGCAGCACTGTATATTTTACCTGACTTTAAACAACTACTTCTTCCCAAACCCAATAGTAAACTCGAACAGTTCACCACAGACTTTGACTACAACTGTTTCTGAAACGAGCAATTGACTCATACGACTAATGAAATCAAAAACCTATCGTCCACAGTAGATTAGGCAGAGTGGACAGAGAGAGGGGAGTGGGAGGAAAGATGTGTCTCACCCTTCCTTGGCCAGGGTCCACCCTAGTCTTGTATGAATGTATGAGGCTAGTTGAGGTCAACTTATGGGACTGAGACGGGGAATAATAGGCAGCACCTCAGATACAACGGAAGTTGTGGTAAATAGTCCGAATAAAATTATAAAAAAAGATTTATCCATCCACGCATCCATGAAACCATTTGTCTATTCATACAATTACCGCATACATCCATCCAGTTAATTACTTGGATGCATGGCTCAAAACATATACAGTATAACACAATTACAGTACAAAGACAAACAAAATTACCATAGGAGTAACCCAGGACTTGAGTAACCTAGATAGAAAAACAACGGACTGAAAATACTTGGAACGGACAAACTGTGGGGTTGTGAAAACATAACTACCCGCCTCAGAGAAATCTTGTTTATAACAATTTATTTTATTAGTTCTATTTGTTCACAAAAAAACGTAAATATAATTAAGTTAACACTAAAAACTATGCTTAAAGGTTGTGAGTGAATTGTTCTTACAAAAAAATAATAAAGCTCAATAAGTCTTTCTTTTATTTAGGCAGATAATTCAAAAGCGAGTTTATGTATTTTTTAACTGAACTTTTAGCAGCAAGTTCGTTTTTATTCTAAAACTGACTACAACTTAAAACGGGAATTGTATCTATATTGAAAGTAACTAGTCCCTAGAGTTGTTTATAAACATTAATGTATGAAGTTGTGGACAAGCAAAGCTCGTTTGCCAGTTAATCTACTTCGTGTTGGTGAAAAATGTTTTGAACTGTTCGTCATAATATTATTATTGTATAACAAACCATTTCAACAGTCAACAGTAAAGTCAATTATTGGTTATTATCAGTCAATGAATGTTTTTTTTATTATATAAAGTATAGCCATTGTATATCATACATATCACAAATAAAGATGTGAAAAATTCCTTTCAGCAAGTTTGATTGCAATCTTTAACTATTATAATACCCATTGAAAAATTTTAAACATTTAATCAAATAAAAGAACAAAAGAATACAATTAATTGCTAGATAATGTGGTCTTCACAGGTGTGTCTTCACAACAACAAAACAGTTTCATAGTAAACGACATTACAGCAACGCACAAATAATATGGATTTAACCTAGTGTTAACTTTAATGAATAGTTACTGTAATTAAGAAAAAGTCTATACCAAGTAAGCGTTTTTCGGAAACAATTTTGATTTTGAAAACAAATTCAGTCATTCGTTTACTTTAATAAATTGTCCAATCGAAATGTATAATTTTTGACTGTTCTACCAAGTTAAAAATACATAGGTTGCGTTCACTTTACAGAAACATGCTGATGAGTGAAATTCATTAGTTTAAGTATTAGAGCATTACTCAAATAAATTGTACAATTTCAGAGTATAGTAAAAATTAATGGTTCATACCAGTTCATACAGTCAAAAACAATCGTCGTATCCCTTAAGTTTGGATTACCATCTATTTTATGGTCCACAATCTCTATCAATATACACTATACAAGCAAACTATGATGAGTGGACATGCTACAAACCATAACAACAGTTTGTGCTGTTGAAATCCAAACATAACCGTCTCAATCCCACCCCTATACATGCGAACGCCATAGCAACGACATCATGAAACATTGCAACGTAAATCACAATTTAATCGTGGCGATAATCAACGCTATCGACGCGGAACACCGGATGAAACTATCGAATACACGCGATTATACGGTAATGATAGTTAATCAGGGCTTATTTGATTACGCGTTTTAGCGCTGCATTAATTGGGACAGAACTGGATAACGGATCAATCATTCAGTCGAGACAACTTCAACGACGGATATATGGCGTTGAGGGGTGTAAATAAAGCTTAATAATTGTAATGGAGTGTCGGACCAATGGGAAGCGAAGGCGGGGCTAGGGGTGCGCGCGCGGTTGCCATGGCGACGGCCGGGGTTGCTATCATGACGAATGAGTTTGCCACCAAGTGATTATTGCCCACTTTGAAAGTGTCGGTCTCACTGTCGTTGGTGAGTTTCATTGTGCGGTGACGAGTTTGTGAGTTTTGTCTTGTGTTAATTATTTCCCACTAGATAGACTCCCAAGGATAATAACAGTTATGATGTATTGGTAGGAATAAATAACCGATATTTTGGCAGAAGTAGGCGTGTAGTAAAGTAAACCTAATATTTTTGTGGAAGAAGAAAATAAAATAAGTATGCGATTTCGAAGAACCGTTCAACGACATCGTTGACAACGTTGCGAATGCGACAGATTTCTAGCGGTTGAATTAATACTCATTTACTGTTTGAGTCGGCACTCAACAGGTCCAAACAATCAAATAAACACAACAAAGTAGTAGTGTACATTTTATTCTACACTATCTGAGTAGTATCCAAAATAACCAAAAAGATCTGTCCTCAAATCATAACTTTCAAGTTTTGTTCAATACATCATCTAATCCCTGAGAAGCCTAGCTGTGTTTTCCCTCCAAAAATACTCCATGCCTTCCCTCCAATGATGGAACAGCTGACTCAGTTCGTGTCCAAGCAGTTCGACGCTGCCGAGGCCAGGTCTGAGCTGTGGCCTGGGTCCGGTGGTTCGGGAGCTAGCTCTAGAGGTTCTGCCTCCCCCGTCGTGGACCCTGAGGACTCGAGGTCTCCACCCTGTTCTCCTCCACCCTCCGCCACGCCGAACACCCCGCCAGCCGCACCAGAGGACGAAGGTGAGTTGTGTGATTGTAGTCTGAAATTTGTAGAACAGAATTTGAGCGCATTTCCTTACAAAACACATGTTTTACATAGCTTATCAGGGAAAGCTATGTGCCCAGTGATCAGGGAAAGCTGGGCCCAGTTTTAAAAATCATCATGTTCTGACGAGGGTTTGAATAGAACATGGTCGCTGAATAGTATTGTTTGCATCTGTATACTTTCATTTTACAATTTAAAATTTAAGTATCTAAATTATATACATGAAATAAACTGATTTTGTTTTAGTACCCAAAATATATGCGGTTAGCGAATAATAGAAATCCATTTACATTTCAGAGCCTTTTCTGTTTGATCTGTGTTGTATCCATTTGTTTTGGTTTTTACGTCTTATATATTAAAAACTTTTGCTAAACTTATGACCGCTAGCCTGACCATACTACTGGACCGAACTACACTCGGGTTGTACCAAAATAAGGTTGTTGGTCATATTATATGTGCAGGTTTTATTTGTATTTTGAGAATATTAATGATAATTGGGTCAAAAATGGAAAATCCACATTTCCGATGGAGATTTAACATGGGGCTAATTCTATATAATAATAGACTAGCGTGTTTATTGAAAACCTTTTTTTCTCAGCTCCTGTGCATTGCCGGGAAAATCTACGTATACTGTTAGAAATACATTTGCCTGTAGATATGCAGAATCAATTTATAAACTAAAATATGCTAAAAAATAAGCCCATCAAATTAATTTAAAGTCTTTAAAAATTAACTTGGGCCTTATTGGTTGCCATGTTGGTTACATTTGGTCGAGATTTCGACCACGGGGCGAGCTCTAGTAATTATAGTAATTTTATTTTTGACAAGTGTAAACTTTATCATGTACCCAGGCTATGTAGTTGTAAGTTACTTTTTATATGAAAATACGAAATGTTGACTGACAGAAATACACTTTTGATTACTTATTCTACATATTGTAAGACACATTTAGTAGGCTCACGGCTATTACCACCACTAATACATAAACACTTTTAACTGTAATCACATTTAAATTGTATTTTTACTCTAAATTTGGTTTAAATTTGCTTTTAAATTAGTTTTGATCTGTTTCTAAAGGGTACGCTAAATAAGGGTGATCCAATACCATGGCTTGAGTTAAAGTTGTTAAGATTTCTATGAAAAGTTCATTAACAACTATGAATCATGAATAGTTATGAATACGTGATACACTGACACATATTAAAAGTGAAATACATCAACGATGGAAAGAATAACTAACATATGTATAATAGCAATGTGAGCTATTTAATTCTCGTCCTATATGTGCGGTAGACTTAGCTATTTATAAAACAAAATATAAACTAGTTCAACAAAACAAATGCAGTTAAAAATATAAAAAATCAATTAAAGAACAACGATCAATAATTAATAAGGGAACATTAAGCCATAATATCCTCTTTTATATTTCGAACCCTTGAATTGGCTGGAGAAAATTATTTTAATGCGTTTAGGTGCAGATATTATTTCTTGATTACAAGAAATAATATCTGCTTAGCTTATTTATAATACTTAGCTATTTATAAAACAAAATATAAACTAGTTCAACAAAACAAATGCAGTTAAAAATATAAACAAAAAAACAATTAAAGAACTACGATCAATAATTACCAAGGGAACATTAAGCCATAATATCCTCTTTTATATTTCGAACCCTTGAATTGGCTGGAGAAAATTATTTTAATGCGTTTAGGTGCAGATATTATTTCTTGATTACAAGATTAACGCACAGAATTAAACAAACTTTACAAATTAAACCAAGAATATTCATAAAATGCCAATAACACTACAGTTCAATATATTTATCTTGCTTGTATTTGAAACATAGAGGATGTATATTCAGTACAGTATCTATATTGAGTTTTAGAGCTTCTGGTCGTTTTCAAGGCGTAAACTTTCACCACAGTTTTTATATTTCACAAATTGTTTACGGTGATTATTTTTGTTAGCTCAAAATCCTTAGTAAAAGCAAGAGGTAAATACCGTATCTAAAATAATAGCTGTTTTACTTTCGTAAAATTCAAAAAAATAATTAGCCTAAACCACATTGAATTGACCTACTAATCTTACAAAATTGTATTGGATTTATTCCTGTGCGCTTTATTTGTGCTATGCTATCTTTGCAGATTGAAGTTATTGAGCAAAGCGAGCGAAGCCTTTTGAGACCGGACCTTATGCGCCGATGTTGACTAATTTAAATAAATATTTTGTAAGCAAGTATTGATATCGTATATATTTGATTTCATGAGAATTTTTCATTGAATATAATTTCATTCTTTTTAAGTTACTCTATTCGAGTGTAATCATGGTAGAATGTTCAAGTATGCAATCCCACTAAATATGGTTAATAATGCTAAACTACGTAGCAATACGTAGCTTTAGCCTCCAATTAACGTTTGTAAAACTGCTAAAAACATCATAGTGTGGTGAACAAATATTTTCATCTTGAGTATTTTCGTGTTCCTTGTACTTGTTATTAATTTAAGTAGTGGTATGATTTTGAATTTTAACATCATGACTCATGAAAAAAGAGTGCATTCGTTTTAACCACATTTTCCATTTGAGTTTATGCAGATAATTGCATTCTTTATACTGTATTCTTCAACTTCATTGACTAGTTATAGCAGCTTAAATTTGCTATATGTTCAACAAAAATGATTTTTTGTTTCATTTAGTTTCTTTACCTTGTTTTGCGACGGAAAATAGCGCGGGAGAGGATAAAGCGACTCTTTTATTCGCAAATTTTCTCTTCAAATTCATATGTCACATAAAATCAGCATAAAATACTCTAGCCTTCTCTGATTTTTCGAAACATCTCAAAACATCATGCGTTGCGTTTAAGTATTGCGACGATGAAACTGCAAATATGTGCTGTATGGAAAGTAACTCCAGCTAATATGAACAGAGTGATACTATATGTAAAATATTTTCAAATAAAGTATACGTTGATTCAATTGTAGCTTTAAAGTGATTCTTTATAACCAATACTATCCATTGTATTCTGACTAGGACAACGCCGGGTATCGCTGCTAGTAAAACATAAAAAATATTTATTTACAAACAGCTAATTTATACTCTACGTAAACTCTAAGTGTCACTTCACTCATTCCATAGTGGCTATATTTTTAGCTTTAAATGAAACGGGTGTTCAGGTAAAAGTAACACATTCACCAATAGTGTTAGAAACAAAAGTTAACTGCTTAAGGTTTAGCTGTGGGCCTTTTGATCAATTCAATTAAGCAAAATAAAAAGCTGTAGCAAATCAATACCACTAAGCTTAGTTTTAAGAAATTTAAACTAAGTTAATGCCAATTACAAAAACAATTTAAAATGAGTTAAACATTTTGCCAACACCTCTAACACAACCACACATGAAACGCATGTCAAAAAGGCTTCAAGTTTTACAAAAAGATATGAATGTTTTTGCCGTAAATAAAGTATCAAATTCTAGAATAAAAGATAAGCAGCACGTAGCTGCCCCTGGGATAAAGCACACAGAATGTATCGTATTAATTTAAAAAAATACCTGAGTTAATTTTTGGTTGTTTAAACTGATGCGAGTAGGCTACATAATATAGTATAATTAGCAACAGAGCCTGTTCGTTGTGGTTAAATACAACGGTCTCTAGAAAATAGTACGTATGCTTCCACAAATGTAAACAAAGAAAAATCAAGGAAATGCAACAATCAGCTGTTCCATTTGATCAGTTGGTGCATACTATGCATGAAGCTCCGGGCCGCGGCCTTCGAAGTGGCAAGGCAACGTATAAGTAGTGTTGTTGTTACAGCTGAAAGACAGCTTGGTTACTGGGCTATTAATAGTTACTAGTGTACATGTTGCTCGAATTCGAGCAATTACAAAGTATTACAGGAGTTATTTCAGATTGAATGACAGTCATATTTACAATGAGCTTAAAAGAGTCAACTCAAATATTACCGTTGTTTAACTCAGACCCTGTGTATTGATAAACCTAAAGCATTCCGGACGGTTCTCTCCTTCTCAAAAAGCCTCGATGTACAGGCAACACAGGTCATTAATAGAGGGCCAATTGAGAACGAAAAGTCGTTTTGGGGTAGTGTTAGGGCACACTTGTAACCAAATAGTTGAAGTTGCCCAGGTTCAGGTTCAGACTGTGGAGTAAGCAGCCTTAAAGCCTATTACTATTAAGCCTATTACGCGCCACTGTTCTGTAGCTGCGGTCGTTATCACGATTGCGCCTCCTGTCTATGTTTCGTTGCGTCGGAGACATTTAAAAGAAATAAACAACAAATAATAAACAAATTATAGCTACACAAAACAACGATAAATGCACAAATTTAAGTTACAATCATGCTAACACAATCCATCATAGCAACAAAACAACGATAAATATACAAATTTAAGATACAACCATACTAACACGATCCGTCTTGGGGGTTATGTTTACACAAACTCAAATAGTAAATAAATGTACTCAATGTGTTTCATTGATTTGAAAAGTAAATAACAGCAATAAAATTATACAGCTGATCAAAATGTAAACAATTATATTCTTCATAAGAATAACATGGGAACTTTCAAAGCCACTGGGGCAGAGTCCAAGGGACTTTTTCAAAAATGTAAGGTCAGTTTGCAAATCTACGCGACACGCTCTTTCCAATGAGACGTCAATGGATAAAATCGGTTAAGAAATGGCGGAGGAGTTCAACCGACAAACTTTCGTGTAGCGTATTAATTATATAGATTTGTGCAACTAGTGAGAAAAGTGAGCAATTGACTCACTCGAGAGAAATCCTTACTCACGAGCCGTAGGCGAGTGAGGAATGGTTTCTCGAGTGAGGCAATTGTACTTTGAACTCGAGTTGCACATTATACTTTTCCTACAGTTACCATAAAACAAATAAATTGGTGAAGAAACATAACCTATATTTACACAAAAGTGAACTTTTAACATAACATTTAATGTGAAGTGACAAA